ATCATCATCATCATCATCATCATCATCATCATCATCATCATCATCATGAAACGTTCGCGATGACAGCTACTGAGCGCTGTATGAATAACTCTGAGCAAAAATTACTTTAGCTCTGCAGGTTGTGTCACAAGTTCTTCTCCCACAGCTCGGAAACATGTTTGTGAAGGATGGTGATGCTTGTGAAACACATATAATCATATATCCTCGCAACCAACCAACATGAGTTTTCATAAAACATGCTGACACAAATTACTCATAGCATCTCACACCTGGTTTTCTAAATGGAGGGTCATTTTTAGGTCTTTTTTTTTGTTTTTTTTTGTCAGCAGATTTTGCTTTTGCTGCTTTTCTGCTTTTGCCGCTTCTTTTTTTGCATTGCTTTTGCTTTTACTGCTTTTCTGCTTTTGCAGCTTTTCCTCTGCATTGCTTTTGCTTTTGCTGCTTTTTTTTGCATTGCTTTTACTGCTTTTCTGCTTTCGCTGCCTTTTCCTCTGCATTGCTTTTGCTTTTACTGTTTTTCTTGCTTTTGCTGCTTGTTTGCTTTGTTGTTGTTGTTGTGCTTTTGGTGTTCACCTTTTATTTTGGTGCTTAGTTTTTCTTTTTGATTCGGTTCGGTTTTTTGTTGCTTTGATTGCGTTGCTGCTTTTCTGCTCTTGTTGCTTCTGTTGATTTTTGTTGCTGTTTGGTCTACTGTGCTGCATTTGTTGCTGTTCGGTCTGCATTACTGCACAACTTGCACACACTCGTGTTTCAGATCTTGTTTAGCTGCACAGACACATTAGACCGACAAGCTTCAATACGCATTGCGCATATGTATGTCATGGTGCACTGCTTACATATGGTGCTTACACGACGCAATAAAGCTAGCAGACCGTTTGCTAGCCACCCGAGGTTAAAATTCAGAGCAGCCAGGGATTATTCCAAGGTAGCAGACCTTTTGTGAGCCACCGGAGGGTACAATTTAGAGATGGTTCCAACACGGCTGCCCATTTGTGAGCCCCCTGATGGTGATATTTAGAGGAGGAAGGGGCCATTCCAAGGTAGTAAACCTTTTGCGACGACAGAGCATTTAGAGGAGGAGGGTGCCATTCCAACATAGCAGAGTGAGCCACCCGAGGGTGAAACTTAGAGGAGGAAGGTGCAATTCCAACATGGCAGACCTTTTGTGAGCCACCCGCAGGTAAAATTTAGAGGAGGTAGGAACCATTCCAACATAGCTGCCCATTTGTGGCCACCTGATGGTGAGATTTAGAGGAGGAAGGGGCCACTCGAAGGTGCCATTCCAACATAGCAGACCTTATGTGAGCCACCTTAGGGCAAAATGTGGAGGAGGAAGAGTATTCCAAGAGAGCAGACCTTTTTTGAGCCGCGCGAGTCCGCGCGAGGTTAGGATTTAGAAGAGGAAGTTTCCATTCCAACATAGCAGGCCTTTTGTGAGCCACGCGAGGGAAAAATTTTACAAGAGGAAGGTGCCATTCCAATATAGCAGGCCTTTTGCGAGCCACCCGCGGGTAAATTTAGAAGAGGGAGGTGCCATTCCAATATTCCAATGCAACATGCCTGTGTGAGCAAGTGAGTCGCAGCGTGGGCAAAGGGTTCATGCACGCGCTAGTGAGTTAACTTTTGCGTGCGCAAGTGATGTTTTGGACATGGCCTCTTCACCATCAAGTTAAGTGTACATGGGGGCGCACTGCCGACATCGCTTGCGCAAGGGAGGTGAGTTTTGCGTGCACAAGTGAGTTGTGTGCCAACCCAAAATAACACCATGAAAACACATGACACAAGCAGCCGCGCACAGAAGCGTCCAAGCACACGCCCTTCCCCCACGAAAACCGCAGTCTTTAAAAGTCGACCACGCCCCACTGCACCTTGCGAAATCTGCACTACTGTACTTCTTCCACCAATGTACTGCTTCCTACGACAGCTGTTTCTCTTAAGTGTCAGCCCCGCTGCCGAAGCTGTAGCTCAGCCACTCACTCCACCTGTGTCCGCAGTTTCTTTCCCTAGGTTGCCGTAAATAGCAGCGAATTGTGAGCCCCCAGGATTTTTGAACATATTGAAAAACGAAAAAACCGAATTTAGCGTGCGCGCAAATTCTCTTAAATCGCTGAGCCGCTTCTTCTTGCGGGCTCTAACCGATTCTAACCCAGGTTACACTCAAGATCCCAGCGTTTGGCGTGCGTGGGTTGATAGGCAACATTGTTCGGCGTTGGATTTACGGGCTTCCAAGAGTTTGGGCTTTGATGTCCCCTTGAAAAGGACTCACGGGTCTTCTGCGGTGGTGATTCCGCAGTGGGTGATGTTGGGGAGGTCTTCCGCTTGTCCTTTGACATTCTGCAGACTTCAACATCCTCCAGATCCAGGTGCTGTGTGGGAGTCGACAAAAGTTCCTTGTCCGACGGAGTTGATTCCAAACGCTTGCGAATCATACGCCGTATGCTTCTTTCCTGTTTCAAGTGCTGTCATAAGACATTTTGACACAGCAGCCGAATGTAAGGTGCTTGGTTCGGAAACAACACCGGTACCATCTCCGAATTGGGACCTTTTTACACCAACTTACCAGGTTCTATCGCGCTACACACTGTGTGTATACACTATACATCCTTGCCCTCCAAGATAACTTTAAACTGGTGTCCTGGTCTTGTAGTCTATCGCGGATGGTTACGCAGCGTGCTCAGCGGTAGAGCAGCAGGGTCAAGCCGACAGCGGCAGTCAAGCAATCTGTGCACATCCGACTCCGAGACCGTGCGCAATCCACCTGCTGGGAACCATTAGTGTGGCCCAAGTTCTTGAGCCATTGCCCGGCCTACATAAAACTCTGCCAGACGTTTGCTGGCAGGAGCAGTGCTGCGCGACAAAACAAATTGGAATTCTTCAATTAGCCAGACAAAACAAATGCTTGCCAACATGGTGCGACCTCGGCTCAATCCGTGTTGGGCAGCCGGAAGAGCGCCATGGTTTTCGATTACTGGCAGTCGCTGTTTGAGGTCAACCTCCCGGGCAAGAAGAGTGTGTGCTTGTCCACTTTTGTCCTTATTAGGCACCTTTCCTGTGATGAAAGGCCATGTTTGAGAGCTGACAAGTGCACTTTCGTGGCCCCAAGCGCTGTAACATGCTGAACAGCAATGGCAATATGGCACGTTGGCGAAACAGAGCTTCACTGACTTGGAACTGCGTGGAGCTTCCCCCCAGAAGGCCAGAAGGCAAGAACCGTTGCTGCACACTAGAAACCTCTTGCTCTAGGTTAACAAGCGGAGTGACATTGCCGTATTTGTTGAAGTTCTGAAACGAGAGCAACTGCCCAGGTGCGTGGACAAGGCAAAAGCAGTGGCCCAAGTGACTCCACAAGACAATAGAGCGAAATGGCACGCGGTCCACTCACCAAAGTGTGCGCACAGTGCAGGAAGCAACCATTATGGTGAAACGTCGAGGTTCAGTTGTTAACAGCCGCGCCGCTGGAAGGACTTGACCCATCACGGCTGGTCTTGTAGTCTCAACCTCTAAAACGCTTAGTAAAACCATGGTTGTTTGATAGGAGTGGTTAAAAAATGTCAAGGACATGTTGGCTTATAGGATGTCGATGTGGACCACCGCGCGCCGCAGTTCCGTGGCCTCCATGGCCTCTCAAAGCCTCGCCTGTTGTTTTCGCAACTTACACAGCGCAGCTCGCTGTGTGTGAGCGGCTCGTCCATGTTGCGGCTCTCCACGGCGTTCCCGGGCACGTTCACGGCGCTGTGGTTGATTGCCTTCACACCCAAGTTCGCCTTGGCAAAACGAGTCCATGAGCAATGGTCCCGCCTGACCTTTGGCTTTAATCATTAGTCAGGTCCATTTTCAGTTATCGCACTGTGAATCACTGGAATGAATTGGTTGTGATGCCGTCCCACGGATTGCTAGATTCACGGATGCTCAATCCAATGGCTTGTGCCCAGACCCAGTTGACTGAGTCAGTTGAGGACACCGGGAAAGAAGTGGTACGTCAACGAGTCAGAAGTGACCAAGGAGAAGCTTTTTGAAGACCTGGGTTGCTATTGCAAGAAGGCCATCCAATTGATCCTTCATCCATGGTTGGTCACTCATATTTTGTGGCGCTTTGAGATCGAATTGTTTGTGAGTTCCATTTGCCGACGTAGTTCATTATGGATTTTGTGACTGGTCCTAGGAGTCCTACGCGCCTCAAACCGCTTTTGATGAATCGTCCATGTCCGGGCAACATCGGCCCGCCTTTGGTGCATTTTTAGTTGGAAGATCTAATTACCATATAACTAGTTAGACTTTGGGCGTCTCAATGGCCTTAAGCAACATCATTACCCAGCGATTCCACGCTCCTGCTTTAGGGAGTCTCCACGGCCGACGACGCTTGCTGTCAGGTCCTTCTTTCGGTGGGAGGCAAAATTCATGGGTTCCCACCTGGGGGGGGGTCGATCTTCGATCGGCGAACGTGAAAACTCTTCCAATCTGATTGGGTTGATGTATATAACTTTGTGTAACTCCAGTCCCATGGTCTTTGGCATTATTTCTGAGACCTCTTCTACACCTTCCAAGCCCGCGCCGTGCGCTCCGTGGCCGAGTGCCCGACCAGCAGGAAGGGCAAGCGCTTCTACCAGCCGGAACGCAGCCGATGGTTCCACGGTGAGGCCGGGGCAGCTCCACAGCGGAGTGGCGCGGAGGGTGAGGAGGCATAGTGAGAGGACACTGACGCCTGCAGCAATTTCTTTGAGATGCGGGGTGGTCGTCGCACTAAGACCACTAAGAAGAGATTTCAATCGGGAGGCTGCCAATCCATGAGTATAGAAACGGTTCGAGGAACTCCGTGCGTTTCCTGAGGTCGCAACTGGTGAGAAGAAACCACATCTTTGTTGCAAGTTGGCAAAGAGCGCTTGGTACAATCGCGTTGGCTGGCGCTACAAGCGGCAAGCGAACTTTCAGCTTTGTACCGAGGAGCTGCGGCCTTTGGAACCAGATGTGTGCTGTCGCGTCGGCGAGGACGAGCAGCAGAAAGTAGGGGTGCACATCAAGCAAGCAAAAGGCCTCGGGTCGCTTGGCGCTGAAGTGTTTGAACAAGTGTTTTGATTTGTTTTTCTTCAAATCAGCACCTTGGTGGGTGCCTCAAGGTCATGACTGGGCACATGCCTTTTTGCCCAGCTTGGACGAAGTTACCAAATTCTTTCATTGTTTCTAATAGCCTATAGCAAACATTGTTCCTAGTAGTGCGGCCAGGAGCCCCGTTCGTAGCCTGCGATCGCTCCGTTCGCAGCGATGCCCTTTGTTACTAGCGATGGAGAGGTACCAAATAGTGAGGGAGATTTGGGAGTGGCCCGACAAGTACTTTGGCAAGAGCCGCCCGATCTTCCAGCTCGACGACGTCACAGGTGTGGGTCGTTTCTATGTCCGACGTTCGGTGCGGGGGACGTCGGCCCGCCATGAAAGCTGCAGTTCCTAAGGGACCACCAGCAGTTCAGTAAAAGAGTCCCAGGATGGAAACAACTCCAATGAGGATTCATCATCTTTAACACCAGCCATCGCGTCATGTCGCGTGGGGTTCCGTGTGGGTCATGGGGACTCATGATACTCATGTGAGCAGCCACTTTTATTTAGGCTTCACTAAAGTAGTCTACGGCGTGCTCTAATTGATTCTATATCATCAGTATTCACTTGTGAACGAGATAGGTCCCCCACATCAACGAGATACTTTTGCTTGATGACACATGATGACACTAAAGTAGTCTGAACGAGATAGCGTGATCTGCTACTAAAGTAGTCTGAACGAGATACAGTGACATGACCTCCTACTCAAGTAGTCTAAACGAGATGGGGCCCCCACAAGATTGATAGTGATTGATAGTGAATTTGGGTTTAGTACCCAATACATGCCTCCGCGCATGTATTTTGGACCCTGCAGGGTCCCTGCATAGACAGACCTGGACTAACACTCCAGTTTGGAGGATAAACCATGCAACATTTAGCCTTTTCTCATCACAAAGGAGGTCGAATGGGTTCTGGGAATACATACAAAATATATGAGGATATATTACTATCCTGAGCTTCAGAATCTTCAGAACGACACCAGCACCACCGAAGACCTTGCGTCAGCGTGTTGTTTAAAACGGGTGAATATTGTTTTGGGGGATCAAGATGGATTCTGCTGCATTCACCAACAGTTTTTGGAGCCAAGCGCCTGAGATTTGCCATGCTTTGGTGGCGGCGACCTGGTGGTTCTTTCTCTGGTTCCCGATCTTTACCCACTAGATTGAAACCTCGTGTGGAGGTGGAACGGACTACGATGGCTCACCGGTGAGTGCTGCTATTGTGCGAGAGTTTCTGGAGAAGAGGCTCCAAATGGGTCTCCTACAAGCGGCTTCAGGACGAGTGGAATCGAGTTCGAGAGGTCATTCTGGTGACCCCTTCTCAATGGGACTGGAATCCATTCCCAGCCCATCCCTGGGAGAATATATGCTTACTTTGACCTTCCCAATGGAACTGGAATCCATGTTCTGCCAAGAAGTGTGAATCGATTCACGGGCTGGTGGTCCTGGACATCAAAGGATGATGATAAAGATGTAAGCTCCCGGTTGACTTGGGCGCACGTCCAGGGATGGAGAAGATTTTGCATTCCAAATATCTCCAAATGCCAGAGGGGGGGTTGTGAAAAGGATCCAGGATATCTGATATTGTACTCATTGTCGATCATTGTCGGTTCAGTCTTGGATTCCAAGCTATGGCTGTTTCCTGGTGCAGACCGGTTGATCAACCTTTCACTCCATGTTCTATGTTTTCAGGAGATGCTCCTCCATGTTGTTCCAAAGGATAAATATCAACGAAAGAAATTGGGCGATCAGCCCCATAGATCCAGGTCAAGGTTGCGGAATGCAGCGTAAGGGACCTGGAATGTTTTATCGTTTGGGGCAATGGTGCGCATTTGTCGCTCCAGGCACTTTTCGTGGCCGCTTGGTCGCTATGGGTTCTGACAGAAGAAACTACCAGTTGCTGACAAGATGTGTTTCATCTCTTCTGTAGTCCTAATTGGCCATCCGGTCTCCCGACACCGTTTGACGTTTTTGGTTTGCCATCGCTTTGAAGTCGGAAGGGGGCATCGGAGTAGGGTTTCATGGCTGGCTGGTACCGCAGCTGGAAAGTAGAGACTGGATTGTCGTCACAGGCCTACCCTCTATCATCCTCCACTCCAATTGTGGAAATTAGAACATGGAAGGCGTATCAAAGCTCTTCAACAAATCCTCAGCCACTTGACTTCACAGTTTTTGAACTTACATCTCGCTGCTTTGACATGCTTTGACCCTGACAGGAGTCGAGGGAAAAGATGCTGTGCCGGGACAAGACACTGCTTTGCTGTGTTCTCAGCATTTCCAGGACCAAATGGATCACGCCAAATAAATGGTTTTGATGAGATCTGATCTGTGTGCCAAAAACCAACACGCCAGACTCGACATGGGTTCTCGGAATGCCTTCTATAGCTAGTTTCTAGGTATAGCTGGAGAACAGCTGGGGTCTTCAGTCTTCATCGTCCTGTTGAGACCAATAGGTCGATTGGGCAATGTGTCGGAGTGCTGTTTGATTTGCTTGGGGGGTTTTCGCTCTTCACGAGGACTTGGACACAGCTGATTGTCGGCTCCGCGCCAAACGCCCCGACGAATGCTGCTGTTTGGAGGCTGCGGCGACCGTGCTAGAGTTTTTTTTTGTCATTCGGAAATTCGGAGTGCAGAGATCAGAGAGATCCTCGTAATTCCTAGCAAATGGAGTGAATATGAAGCTACCGGGGCATTCTGCAGATCACGTACTTTGGAACGAGCGGCTACGAGGAAGACATGTGGGCGGCATAGATCGAGGGTGACTCTTCGGTTCAGACATGTGATCACGCTGAGTGGTAGAAAATAGCTGGTGTGCTGAAACTATCCCGCAGAGCTTGCGGCTCACCCATTGGTTAAACACATAATATGATGCTTGTTTTGTTAATAGAGAGATCCCCTACCCCTGGCTGGGTAGACTGGTCTATTTTCCGAACCTTCATTGGGGTCGAATTGGAAGGTCTCCCTATTCTAATGCACACTCTCACGCTGAAGCGTGTTGTTCCTCAAAACTTGACAAGACTTGGAGGTTTCAGAGGTTTTGTTGGCCATCACAGGCCATCACCAGCTGGCACAACCTACAACTATCCTTGACATCCGAGTTCTTTGTTTGCCAGGCCACCGTCCAAGAAGCCCAGCGCTGTTTGCCCGTCCCCAGCGGTGCATCGTCCTCTCTGGGGCCGTTCGTGGTGAACGGCACGTACACGGAGACCAAGCTCCACGACTTAGATGAGGGGAGCATCGCATGGCCTCCCAGTCCCGAGGAGATGGATAAGGACGGATGTGATGTTCGCGACGAACACCATGTCGGAGCGAAGCGAAAGCGAAAGCAAAGCTCTGGATGTGTTGCTTTGGAGCTACGCCACGCAGCTACATCCCGGTTCCCTGAATCCAACGGATCAATGGCCCTGTGAGGCAGCTGGGAGCTTTCAGTGGTTAATCTACAGCAAGATGCTTTCTTGTATTGAACGACCCTGATTGGTTGCTTCCTTGGGTTACCCTCCTTCGTGGTCAAGCTAAACAAAAAAGGCCAAACACACAGTGGTTTTGACAACCTGGTACGGATAAACAGTCACTGCAAGTTTGGAAGAGATGGACAATGATGTGTGACAGGATGTTGGCAACACATTTAGTATAACGTGCTTATTGTGTTGGTAGGAGATGTAAAGTCTACTCCTACGATCCTCGCTTGGCATCTTGTAACCCACTGTGGGGTGGGGTGGGGGGTGTCAAGTACCTTTTCTTTACCCGCGTAGAAATGCATAGGACCCCCAAGAATTCCGGGTTTGCCCCACCATGGTTTTCCGCGAGAAAGTGGACCCCCAAGAGTTCGCCCCAAGAGTTCTGGATCCAGCGCTTCATTCACTCCAAGTCCCCCTCAAGAGTTTGGGAGGCTCCCGATTCCATGAGGAGCGCATGTCTGGCCACAGGAGCTGCCGAAGAAAGTGACCTCACAGGATCCTGAAGCGCCTGAGCAGATCGACTATGACTGGACACCAGGCCACAAGTTCTCCCGTGCACCGGCAAGCAGTTCTTAAGGTGAAGCAGCAAAATCCCATGGGCGATGCAGACAAAAAGGAGCAATTGATACCAACCTCACCAACCTCTAATGACTTGGTTTCCTTTGAAGTGATTTATATATGTTACAAGATTGGTTGCGGGTGTTCATGAACAGATGCTCAGGATTTTCTAACTATACCCAATCAACTTGTGCAGAAGAGTTGGCAACATGTGGGACCTGTTTGATCACTGGTGTTTCTGGGCTTTGAAAACGCCCTAGGCCAGCAGTGGGAAGCCAAATGCCTGGGCAACCAGAAGGTGGGTTACATCAGATCAGAGAAGAAGAGCAAACGGGTGCGGAGTGGAACACGATTCCGTCGCGTGGGCAAAGTCTCGCACTCAGTGCCAGTTTATAAGACGAAGCACTGGACTGCATACCATCAGGAGCCGGACGTCTTGCGCGATCTGATGTGCATACTGCTCATCAAACTGAGTTTGTTCTTTTTGAACATGGGCATAGATGTGTAGGAGCCAATGTGTGGGATCAAGCATGACCCCAAGAATTCAAAGGCGTTCCAAAGGGCTGGAATTGTGAGATGGAATGAGCTTTGGACTCTCATGAATTCTCCACCCTGGAACGCTGAACAAAATCCTCCGGAGTTTTCTTATGGTGTGAAGGAGATATTCAGGTGATATAATATGTGGACTGAGGCATGCCTGTAAAGCGTGTTTGGTCTTTGAGGAAAATAATGCTAGTTGGAGGCCATCGCTGTTAGGTCGGAGGCCATGAGGCCATCGCCACAAAAACACAGTTGATAGCCTCTTTGTCTCACGCTTGAACTGTAGCACTGTAGCACGATCTATTTTGCCCGATTTGGACACCAGCACAGGAGTACAAAGAGGAGTGCATCTCTTACGAGTACAAGCGCCGTTGTCCGCTAAATCATGGCCTCTATGTCAAACAGTTCCCACTAGGCACTTGTACCAAGGTGCCAGGCAGGGTTTCTCATCAAGTCGTTTGAACTGGAATGCCAGTGTGTTTGGTCGATTGTTTTGCACAAACATCTCTGGCAGAATCTCTGGGGTCAGCTGATTAGACTCGTTTGAAGTCGAATAATTAGACTCGTTGTTGAGCATCGAGGATCACCTTCAACTCCCCCGCCCTTTGGAGACCCCAAATTCTGCCAGGCGAGTCCAATGACCAGTTGCAATTGATGGACCTCGGGGCCTTGACCTATCAGTGCCCGGAAGGCTATCAGAGCGGCGCGGAGGGCGCCATGAAATTTAACCGCCACTGCAGCTGCACCTCCGAGGATGGCAAGGCATCCTGCAGCTAGAGGAGTATACGGCTTCTCCGGTCCTGGAACATGCGGTTCGTCCTGGCCATGCGTCTCCACGGGGCCAGGCAGATGAGAGTGTTCAAAAAGGCTGCCGCAGTTTCGGAGTCAATCTTTAGACCCGTGGAGGGAACATACAATGAATATGTGTGGTTGGTTTGTGGGGTGCAAACATGACTTGGCTTTTGGACCAACCTTGGGGTAGTGAAGTTGGCAGGACGGAAACCCGCACACCCCCAAAGCTCATCTTATAAAAGTGCAGAAGCAACTACTTGTAGCATTTTTGGAAGCTACGCGTGGCTTCCGCATAAGTCCCGGCAAATCAGGTCCGCCGAGAGACTGACGAAATTGCGATACCAAGTGAACCAAACCACCGCAAATAATCAGTTTCCTTTTTTCCACTAATTACTGTTTTTCAAGAGCAAATCCTATGGAGGTGTCCTTGATCCCATGATATCCCATAGTCTTTCTTTCTCCAATCTAGGCAATAGGATCTCCCTGTAAATGCTGTAGTAGGTTCCTCCAGTCGAAGCATGATGGACGGTTTTTTAGACATGGACGACCTAGCCATGTCCCAAACCATCCTCCCCCTGGCATGTATATACATTTACCAGTACATTTACCCCATTAGTTTGGGGAATTTCAACATACTTCAACCATGTTGTCGCAAGTGTTTGAGGGACAATAGGGAGAACTTGGGAAAAACGAGATGATCAGCAAACCTTGTTGTTGGGATCAGCCATACAGGTTCTTGTTTGTGCTGGCTCAGAATGAAAGAGATTTCAAGTTACTTTCTACTCTTACACTTGTGGTCTTGTTGAGCAATTGGTTCATGATGAATTGACCTAAGTAGTAGGATGTCAGATTGTCAGATTGTTGAACAGTGGTTTCAGCGTAGGTGGCACAATCCCCAAGTTCGGTGGCTTATATGGCCCCATCCAAAAGACATCGAACGGGGGGCCAGGGCCATTTCTCACCCCTGACACCACTGTGATGACTTCTCGACCAAAATTCTGCTTCACCGCTCTCCGATGAAGCTGCACAGGATACATCTCACAGCTGCACATCTCTGCCAGGCACCAAGACAGGTTTTTATTTTGATGTTATGACAGTCGAACACTTGCTCTGGAGCACGTTTCCTTTGGTCAAGTGGGTGAATTAGCCAACTGGTGGTGTTCGCACAGGATCCTGCTTATGCTACAGGACCACACGATTTTGTTTGTTCTTCACCTGCTGGATAGTTCACCGAGCAAGAGCACCCGCAGAGAATTCCCTTAATTGTTGCTTCTTCCAAAGCCAATTTCCTCCTTCGATCTGGCAACAATCCTGTGCGTGTGCTGTTGCCTGAGTCGAATGAAGCATCGAACGAAACACTGAGATTGCTGAAAAAGAGAACCTGAGTGCCCCCCCCCCACTTGAAATGCACACTCCTATCAAGTGAATCTTCTCTATGCCACTCCATGCATCACCCAGGTGCCCAGGCGGCCGCAAGGCAGGTCTAGCTGAAGGGGTGGCAAACAGACAGTTGGACAACAAAGGAGTTTGGTGGTAGGGAAGACGTCAAAGTTCTCTAAACACATTTAGACTGGGCAAACGGGTAAACTCTTGAGATGAGTTGAGATACGATTTGCATGTGATGAAGAGGTAGCTAGAGCTGTTTGGCTTGGAGCAACCTCAAGGTCTTGGCAAGCAGAAGCTGACCCGTCGCAGGGTGATCAGTCTGTATACACCTGCAACTAAATTTACTGTACATGTTATTTATCCTTCTTTTTCCCACACCCGCAAAGCTAAATCATTAACTGATATTGAATGAACAAGTTTGCTGTCAATCGCAAGAGAATTGGACTTACCCTGCAGAGAGGATATGTCCCGCGAGAATAAACCCGCGACTCCTGAGAACAGGGTATAGGAAACCACGATCCGCAGTCTTTGAAGATTCGGACACAACCGCAAGATCATCCAGCCCAGCCCATCAAAATGAGAGAAACAACAGCGAGCATGACATGATCACGACAACCGATGCAGATCGACTTGACCTGTCAACATGGTCCAAGAGCGCCATGCCACGCTTCAAGCCACTGAGACACGGATTCGGTGGGGGTGGTCGAGCCGTGGAGCAGAAAGCGCTTGCCAAAAAAGACCAGAGCAAAGGTTCCGGCAAAGGTAAAAAGCACCAGAAAGGAGAAAAGCCAGGGAAGTCAAAGAAAGAAAAGGAAAAGAAGGAGAAGAAGGAGAAGAAGGAGAGGAAGGAGAGGAAGAGAGAAAAGAAAGAAAAGAAAGCAAAAAAAGAAAAAGCAAAAAGAGAGAAAGCGAAAGCGAAGAGACAAAAGCAAAGGCACAAGGAACTCGACAATGCCAGGGAGTTGGCAGTGTTCCCACTCCCAAAAGCAACGCCGAGCTCCGCATATCGAGCGTCTTGGCCACCGCACGCTGCAGTGTCACCGTCTCAATCGCTCGCTTTGCGGCCGGCCCCCTCTGCAGCGCCGGAATATGCTGAGCGGAAGAAGGAGTTGAGGTGGATCAACCTGAAGAAATATTGCAGCTGGGATTGGCTATTGGCTGAAGGCTTTGCAGTTGGGTGACGGGACAATCACAGGCCTTCACTAGCGGTTCCTGACCTTCGCGGACCATCTTAGACGATAGAAGGATGATAAAACGTATCTGTGAGAGCCTTGATAGGGGTAGAACTGCCGAAGTGCCCCGACGTCATCCAGAGTTGTTGGGGGTTTCCAAGATGTTCCAACGGTTCCAATAGCACATGAGTGTTGCAAACGTGTTGGTCTTTGAAACGACAGACCATCAGACCAGCGAAGAGAAACTCTGAGTGCGATGAAAAACTCTGAGTGCTCTGCTTGTGAGGGTGACTTGAAGGCTGAGGGGTGTTGAGGAGCTTTGTTTTCAGCCTGTTCGAGTTGCATTTTTGCGACCTTTTGACTTTCCAGAGAAAAATGAGAAAAGTCGAGGACCATGAGGACCATGAATGTCACGCCCCAAAGCAGTTAGGCCACCATACGTCTTTAGTCGAAGAGCGGCGTGGCGTTTTGGTTTGGACTTTTCAATGTCCTTTCCATGTCGGGGAAGTTCTGAGGTCGCCAATACCTTCACAAGAATGACTGCTCTTTTGGTCCTCGGCGGCTTGGCTTTACACCATCAAGTGCTGGAGGAGACATCATGAACAACCATTGTCAAGTGCTTCAGAGTGCTCATTCACCTCATAAAGCGCTGTCAAGTTCGCGTCAACGACTTGTTGCAACAGATGAAGACCGGTGCGCAAACCGTTTGCCTTTACACGCGCCCGCTGGACAGTTGTGCACGTTTGCATATGTTTACGACCGTCTTTCTGACTGGCAGCCCACGTATGGGGTTGTGCAGTGAGGCGTTGAAGCACCCCAAACAAGTATATGGATCCCTCCAACGAAGGGCGCTCGGTTCATCTCGAGTAATTCGGCACCCGTTCAGACCTTTCCCAGCTTCGGGCCCGGCCCGTCACGAACGGCTGCGTTTGCTGCGTTGTTTGCTGTATGAAACGACGATCGGCTTGACAAGTCACCTCAGGTGCAAGCTCATCCACCAGAGTTACTGCCGAAAGTATCTCATGCGTGGTGGATGTCGCTGAGCGGGACAAATTAGGGAAACGGTCAAGATGACGCTCTGAGGGGGTGCGGTTTGGTGCGGTTGAGCTGCGGTCCATAGGAGTGCTCCATTAGATGAAGGAAGACAAGATCAGATGAGAGAAAGAGAGAGAGAGAGAGAGAACCACAGGGTTCAGTGCGGATCAGTGTGGTGCAAACCAGGTTTGCTTCTTAGCACTTTCTTTTGCAGGGTTTTCCTACCTGAAATGTGGAAAAGGGTCAACTGAAAAAGACCTAAGTTGGAGTTCAGCAGTGAGTCGAAACACTTCAGCCAAACGACGAGGCACCAACCGCTTGTGTGACTTTAAGCACCTCGACATTTGTGACTTTGGCATAGCTTGGCAGCGATTCACGCAGATCGAGTGAGTGAATTTAGATTCAGTTTATATTTTCGCAGACCAACGCGATGGTCGATGTTTGATCCTTTTTTTGCTATTCTAGATCAATTGAGGCTTCGAATGAATGACCGCCTTTCAAAACCAAGGCTGTAGGTTGACCGGACAGCTGATAGTTTATAGCTGAGCCTGCTTGAAGCAACTGTAGGTGAGTATTTCCAGAGAAGACACTGGACAGAGGACGATTGATACAAACAGCAGCAAAACAAAAAAAGTGAGAACTTTCTTGAGGCTTATTCAGCTTGATATACAATATACATATATATATATATACATATCTCAAAGTGTCAGTCTTTAAACCGAGTCAAATCCACTGCTCCTGTTTTCAACAACTCATGTTAAATCCACTGCCCAAGTCCTCCACAGGACTGCCCACGCCTACCGCGTTGCCCCTTCCTGCATGTTGTTCTACCTCGTGAAGAAAGGCTCTCATTTCCTTCAAGTGCCCCCATTGGTGGAAGCCCTTCCAGCTCCTTTGCTATGATCTAAAGCTGAAACTAATGAGTTGCCAACCAATCTTCACACGTGCACGCTGAGACATCCATGAGTAGATGCCTAAACAGAGCTGTCTTCCTGTGCGCCATTCAGGGATGAGAGGTGGCTTGGTGTGAACATGGTGCGCCATTCATCGATCGCTCATGCCTCCCAGGTTCGCACTCCTTTCCACCGGTGCCGCCCTCGCTGTTTCTTCCGCCACCACCCACACCGACCACGCCGGTGACCTCTGATGACGAGTCGAAGCCAGTGGAGGTCATTGAAGTGGAAGATGACGAGCCAGCAGAAGCGAAAGAGGAGACGAGCGAACGAGCGAGAGCGAATGAGCGAGCCGAGCCGAGTGACTTTTTGTGGACGTGTTCCTCTCAGCTCGGCTTTTGAGTTTGTTCTTTCTCTCGTTTTCTGGTAGGGAACTTGTTCTGAACTTCTGAACCTCGTGTTATTTTCGCTCGAACAAGTCATGACATGAGTGATGCTTCGGAGTGTTTTCGTTGGAGATCGTCGTTTCCATAGTCCCAAGTTACCTTGGTGTCTTCACTTGGAAAGAGGCAGCCCAAGCAGGCTCAAGCCGGCTCCCCCCAGAGGCCATAGCACGACTCCCATCGACTCCGGGGATCGACTTGGGAACCGTCCAATTCAGGCACCTGGAGTCGAAAAACACCCCACCAATTCAGGCCATTTCAGGCATCATGAATCATGAATCATGAAGGTTGCTTGTCCCAAAGTCATGCAAACCAAACGAATACATGACAGACCCAACAAGACACACACACACACACACTCACTCTCTCTCTCTCTCTCTTTGTGGTGGAATCTGTTTCAAACCTGTCAGGAAGACTTCCACGGGGTCCCCAAACGGGAGTCCCAGCTCACGGTGGGCTTTGCGCGGCGCTATGGCTACGAGGACTGGCGATACGCGCAGTCCGTGCGGTCCATGCATCGCTTTAAGGCCCTGGCCCAAGGGGTAGACTGGTCCTTGCCCTTCTTCCAGGGGTCGCTGCCTGGGAGGTCTTCATACTTCAATACGCACACCTGTAGAGACATTGGGGTGGCCCAGAGACGGCTGGTGGCCACTTGCCCCGGTGGGCTCTTAGGCAACAGGAGACCCAAGAATGCCGCAGATCAGCAGTGCTCAACCACCACCTGCATACCGAAGCCACAAAACCAAAGAATCTTGCAATATGTTGCAATAGTTCGACGAGAATATTGCCCCAAATGAGTGATCGATCGCACCCCACTTCCCACGCCTGATGCAAGGCCGGCATGGATCACGGGCGTCTCCGCCAGGATTGGGGCGACTAGGCATCGAGGAGGACACCGACGGGGAGCACGAGGTGGACGACAGTGACTCTGAAGCTCCGAAGCGGCACAACAAGGCCCAGCCAGCGACGGTGAACTGCAATGTCTATCACAAGTGGATTGTGACCTGCCAGAGGCGGGGAAGAAGGATGTTCGTTTTGGATGTTCTTTTTTTTTTGCATGATCAATCTGTGGTCATAGCGACTTTTGAGGTGGAGATGGGTGTGGTTGAAAGACTATGCTGGTTGCTGAGGTGTACAACTATATAAGTGGTCAAAAATCTGAATACCAGAAGCGATCACATGTTGCGCACCGCCTTTCTGACCTCAGGTGCAATCAGCAAGTGATGAGGGTGGACAACCACCGAATCGTGGATAAGCATGTCTTTTGGCCGGGAGCTTAGGAGCGGCATGCTGCTGCCATGTGCGGAGAAACGATTACATAATGGAACCTTTTGAGTGAAGTAACGTGTGTCTGTATTTTGAGAGGAGAACCCACCACCAATGGGTTGTGGTCTATTTTCCGCTTCCAGTTCTCTTGATGGTATCCTTAATCGAATACATACCCAAGATATCCCAAGATCACCCAAGTGTTATTGTGTTCTTAACTTGCCCTCTCGTGTAGAAGCACAACTTTGAGCTGTTCCTCAGCAGAGTCCAAGCATGTTCTTACTGCAGTGGCACTTAATTAATGCGTTGTGGTCGTTGCTTTGGGGTCCGGACTTAGGTACCGAGCACTGCGAGGCAGGGGAGCAGCAGAACGTGGTTCTCTGAAGAACGTGGTTCTCTGCGCTTCATCTGTTTCTTTTCCGTTCGTAGCGTCCTTGTTCAGAGTAGTAAGGCCAGGAGCCCCGTTCGTAGCGTCCTTGCTTATTTGCTTCATTTGTTTCTTTTGGCATCCAAAAAGGTGCCTTTTCGGACACGCGAAGTGAGTCGGGTTGGAGGTACCTGGCAGCCGAGAGAGTCTGGTGGCCTCTGGGGAGGCGGTGAACGAGGCCCGCATGGGTTTCATAGCCACAACGAGGGGGAAAGGTGGTGCTCATTTGAACGGTTAGATCAAGGTTGATGGGTGGGTGGCTGGGTTTATGTCGCTTTTCGCAAACGTCAGATCAGAAGGGGAGGGGTGGCCATCCTTTCAAGCAAGGTAGTTGAGTCTTGCCAGACATAATGTTTCAGAAGTTGATTGAGTCTTGCAAGACGGATGGACATTTTTTGGGTACTTGTAGCACTTCGGCCTCTGCAGCACTTCTGGACATATTTTTGTCTTCCAAATTTCCTCATGACAGACAGTTGTTTGTGGGCCCGCTTCATCAACAACATTTACGATATCAAAGGGATATCTCGTGCAACTGCAGGGAGATCTCCCGATGGTAATTTTATCAACAAAGTCGGTTCGTGACCACCCAAGTCCATTGTTGCTACTCTGCTTCACAACCAGTGATGGGAGACTGTATCTCAGACTGTTTCGGGAGGTTTACAGAATTGGATCCTGCAGAGTCGTCTGCCTCAAGTGCTCGCTGCCTCAGGCGGCGCGATGCGCTCCAAGGGGAAAGGCTGCCAGACTCGTTTGCCCTCTGATTGGGACGTGAAGAAAGCCAGCCATCGACGAAGAGAGCGGAGGACACCGGCGAATTTGGAGGGTTCAAGTAGACAATAATATCACAATGTTGGAGGGTTTTGTTCATTCAGCCGAAACAACCTTTTTGATTTTGAATTGGGTTCTCTTGGTTCAGAAATTAATCCCCACCTGTCAGGTGAGGGTCTCTAGATTCTATGTCCCTGCTTCGCCCGCGCCACTGCCCACCCGGTGCCCACATGCCGCTTCTTTGCGGAACTCATTGGCACCGACCCTTACTGGTTCAGGCGGCAGAGTGGTGTGCACTGGACTTTTGCCAGAACACATATCAGAGCAAGTCTCGAAACAGAAGCCAGAAAACATGCCAGAAGACATGCCATACGTGATGCCAGCACACATGTCAGAGCAGATGCCAGAACGCATCTCAGAACAGATGCCGGAACACTTGTGAGACATAATCCCAGAACAACTGTTAGAGTCGGTGACGGAACACATGTCGGAACACATGTCGCAACCAATGCCAGATGTGATAGCAGAACACAAAACATATTTCAGAACAAGTTTCAAAGACGCCATATCCACACAGAAGTCAGACCATATGTCACAACACAGTTCAGAGCACATGCCAAGTTTGATGTGAGAGCACATGTCAGAAGTACATGCCGGAGATATGTCAGAATGCGTGTCAGACCTGACCGCAGAAGAAATGTCAGAAGATTGTGTCAGCCCTGCCCTCTTCCACATCGCCTCTCAGGGTTGGGGTCACTTGAAAGAAAGTAGTTTGCAGGGATAATATTATGTTCAGCAGAAAACTTTAGCAGCAAACGATGGATCTAAACAAAACTAGACTGCCCAAGGTCCTTAGTGAACCGGTTCACAGGATGCAGCTAGCTTCTACTATTGAAGTTCTTCTCTGTTTGGTGAATATTGTCTTGGGGAAACTGGACAAAACCATTTGGAAGGGATCAGCAGCCAAGTCTGGGTAGTCGCGGTGGCGGCCCCGACCTCGACCCCATGGATCTGCCAGGCAAAAGCCTTTTAGGTAGCAAGTGTCGCAGAGACTCATGAAAGGTGGGTGAATTGTATGCGTCATTATGTTTTTTTGGTTCTAAGAGTTTTGATTCACCTAGTGTTGGTGGGGCGAGGACACATCCACGCATATTCCCTAAAGTATACTCCAATCGCGGAACAAGTGGCTCTCCTGAAGGATCCTCAAAGTTATCTTGCTGAAAAACAAGAACTGGAAATTCCACAACCTGGAGGAGTGTCTTGTTTGTTGGGGATGGGTACAAGATTCCTGCGTGTGCAAGACTGCTTGGCGAAGCTCACGTAGGTGGGACAATGAAACAACAACAGCTGGAACATGTTATTTGTTTGTCGTTTGACAACTCTGTCGTTTGACAACTCTGCAGAGTTTCTTTGGCAAGGCACAGGATGAGTTGTGGGCCTTTCTTTGCCCTTGCAAATAGTCACCGTGACACGTCGAACGAACACAACTGGTCAACAGTGCCTGGCTAGGTTTGAGCAGATGGTCCAGATGGTATAGAGGTCTCCCTGTCCATAGCATTTCTTGAGCATTCTTGAGCTAGTCGAACCCTATACAATGCCAATGACATGACTGGAACGCACTACAAATTTTCCCGGATGAATATAGGCAAATCGGCAAGTCCATTCTCGGATAGTCTGACTATTTTGGGGCTATAGAAGAGAGGCCTAGTGGCTTAGTGAGTCCAAGAGGTCTCTTGGTGCTGGCCAACCTATGGCGATTGTTCCGTCCGATATCCCGGGCCATGTGCGTGCGCGTGCCTTCTAAGGTGTAATCCCAATGCACCAGCAATGAAATTTGAGCAGCAAGTGCGTCTCTTGAAGCACAAGAGTGAATCGTACACATTTTGAGGGATCGGCTATTTTTGGACGAAACATATCAGAAAGAAACCACACACCCCGCGTCCTGCCGGGTGTTCCCTAGGGCGGGCCCTATCCTTCTGTTCATCCAGTTGTTTACGGCCACGATGGATCACCAGAAGTGTTTTCCGGAGTGAGGAGAGTGCTTCCAGTCATTTCCAGTCTGTATGGTTGGATGTTGGATGATGTTAGCAAGGGTGCAGAGTGGAGATTATTGCATTTGGATTGTTTGAAAGATGTCCAGCCCGCAGCCGATGCATGAGCTCATGACAAGGTTTGGAGCAGATCATCCACTTTCGTGGCGAAGTGAATCAAGCCACTGGGCATCACTGGGCGCCCGGAAAATGTATGGTCGCTCTGTGAGAGTGGATGTTGATGGAAGTTGAGTGGAGAGGGTGGAGACGAATAGCCTGTAATTTTGCGGCCTTGACGTTTCACTTGAAATATGAAGTAGAGAGGGAGAGGTTCGCTCTTCGGAATTCTTCAACTCGCCTTGTGATGCAAATGGCAGGGCAGTTTCCTAGTTGCATGAGTGCTGGAAGCTTTGAGGGGATTGAATTCATATCATGTCATATCCATGTGCAGGTTGATTCAACACTGCCCGGAAGCCACTTAAACTACATGCTGACCCAGCTGTTCTTTTACTGGTTCCTCTGAAATTCGTTTACCTCCCTTCACTCCGTTTTGCTCTTTCACATTTGAGGACGAGGGTGAGGACGAAGACGATGCAGACGAAGACACTCCTCTCGGACAGCTGGTCGTTAAGAGGAGGAGGACAAAGCCCCCGGGAGTTCCTCGTGCAGTGAAGGAGCCCGCTGCGGATCCGCCCGTGGACGTGGTGAATGCCGAGGAGGATGATGACGATCTTCCCATCGCTTTGCTTGCAGCGAAGCCCACTTGGCCAAAGAGTTAGCTCACCCTGCTGGTTTGCGCATGGCTGCGGATGTCGGCCACCCGACATTAACATCCGGCACTTTACAATGTGGAGGGTACGGGACATCCCAGGATAGAAAGCGGATAGCACAGTTGGTACTTGGAATGCTAAAAGCAAACATGTATGCTCTATTGAATCTCCCTCAGTTAATATTCTCGCTGGGTTGAAGTCAAGCACAGCTCTTGGCAGTGTGTTGATGGGCCCCAAAGGGGCCTGCTTAGGCAGAGAGTCCAGGCTATTTGATGTCCCAGCATCAACGGATGCGAGATTCTCAACATCATGGGAGTTCATTTATCAGTTGAATTGGTTTGCGCTGCACGTTGATGTAGCCAAGTTGAGAAATGTTGAGAACCTGCTATATTTGCGTATGGACCGAGGAGTGTGGACTGCACGAGGATAAGAGAGGTGCGGCCAACCATGGCCAATCACTTCCACAATACCATAAAAATCATAAAATCTAATTATTGTGGATATATATCTAGATGTTTCTAACCTCATAATCTAATATAACTCATCGACCTCCATGTGCTTCATTCTGTCCCCTTTCACATGCCGCATTGCTCTCCGCCTCGTGGCAGCGGAAGATATGGATGCGTGCGGGGTCACTGCGGGTGAACCTGCTTGAGCCACCGCAGAAAAAAGATCCCTGCGTCTCCGCCACAGCGTCTCTTCGACGTCGTGAGGAGCTTTGGCAGGTCGCTTTGGGGTCATCGTTTTTTTGGTTATCGGTCCCAGACGGGCCGACCTTTTGCGTGTCACAAGATGTCTATAGCGAAAAGACATCGCCCCCCCAAAGAAGGCAATTGCAGAAGTGTTTGTTCGGGTTGCAGAAGTGTTTCATGACGATCACCCTGTTCCGTTGCGGCGATTTTGGCGGCTTCGGCCAGGCTTGCGAGCATCTCCACTCCCATGGGCGGCGCGGTCCTGAAGTTCGTTGCGCACGAACAGGAGTCAACGAAGAACCATTTCAGGACCAGGAAAACTGTGACCTGAAGATCTTGGTGAGTCCTGTTCTTTAGTCACTTTGGTCCTGTTCTTGTTTGTACTTTGCTTGGAGATCAGTCAGCTTTCTGAGGAAAATTCCAGGTCTTCGACCATTTTTGTGTGGTCTTTGGTATCCAGTTTTACCTTACAGACCGCCAAGCTTCATCACATGAGCTAGCCGTTTATGAGGTTGAGGATTGGTTTCCTTCACTTCACGTCTGCCTCGGGGAAAACAGCTCCTACCCCGGCTGCCTCGGGTCAACATAGACTTCGGTGGGTCGATGCACGGGCCGCACGGGCCGCAACGGCTCGGGGCCTCCGGGGGGTCGGATCGGACAGACTTGGGCGACGCCCGAAATGCTCCGAACGTAGCTTCTTTGCTCCTAGGTCACGAAGGCCACCAAGGCCCCGAAGAAGAGGTCAGCCTTGGCGGGGTGTTCCCGTTGGAGACGACGCATTCATCGCGACCTGCGGTCCGGACAGGCGGTCGGAACTTGGGCAGCATCAACTCTCATGCTTTGGAGAGAGTCAAACCGGTGCTTAGGATATCTTTGGATCAAGATCCAAACCCATGGTCTTTCAGCAAAGCAAGAGCAGTTTATGTTGGAGATGATGGAGATGTTCACCAGACAATGCACACCTGCGAACCATGCCCAAGGATTTGGTGAGGAATTCTTGGCTATATTTTATACTTAAGTCTGACTGCACGTGTCATTTTCCAGTGTGATTTGGAGGTCAACAACGGCCCATCAACTCTTCTTCGAGCGCAGAAACGACAGGCACCTTACGAGCGGCCTCAGAAGAAAGCTCGTCTTGACCAGGTGCGACTGGGCAGTGGGTTGGGATCCTGCCCAGTTAGTTCGAGATGGAGATATTCTGCATGTTTTTTTGTTTTGGAGATTTAATTCTGCTCGTCAAATGCCGGACTTTGAGTGAGGCCGCATTTTACTGGCATGCATCTCGATCAGAATCTGGCTTTCCTTACACCACAAAGGAGCACCCAATGCCACAGGTTCAAAGACAATTTGGAAGTCAATCGTTCCTATGTTGTCCATCACAGATTGTTCCAGTGGAGTTCTCTAAATGAGGATTGGCGAGCCATGCCGAGCAGGGGTTTTGAGATTCCTTTATTCCTTTAGACATTCCACACCAGCATCATTTCTATAACTTCTTATAACGCTATAAAGTTATACAATCCAAGCTCTGGCCGCCAAGGGCCCTAAAGTCCTAGAGTTTGGAGCCATCACGCGCTCGATGGCCGCCGTCTCGTGCCAGGAGCTCCGAGATTTGCTGAAGCTGCAGAGTAGCGCAGCCAGTGGAGCTATGGCCCGGTGGTCACTGAAACACCTGAGACACCCATTCCTTTGGTCTCTTCAAGTATAGTAGATCTTCAGATCGTGCAAGGTGAAAGAGGGCTTTTTTCAAGGAGAACAGTAGAAGCTGCCAAGAGTGCAGGAGATTTGTTAGGCTTTCAGTGTTTCAGAGTGCTGCTCCTCAGACCTCTCTTTGATGGTGTGCTGTCCTCCTTCCGACTGAGCTTTGGAGCAGCCACTTGCAAGGACATGCACGTTCTGGTTTAAAGTAGGTATATATTGTACCACAGGTATCCACAGGTTAGTTTTGTGTTTTGCCCTATGAACTAGTCACTAGTCCCTTGTGTGGTTTCCGATGGACATTTGTTTTCACCATAACACTTTGCTGTTCTGCAGTCAGCTGCTCCGCTTGAGAGGCGAAAGCAGTGGTGCGATGCGCTTTGGAGCTGTGTGCGAAGCCCGGAGCAAGTCAGGGCAGACAATGAACAACCTAATACAACCGAGTTTTCAGAGGATTTCTGTTCCTTTTGACATTTTTCTCCCATCTATCCTGAGTCGTCTGGGCTGTTTAACCTTTGCTTTTTATATACTGTACTTGCCTTGGGAGGACTACTGGATTCCAGATCTTCTGGCCTTCGTTGGGCATTTGTTGGTTGCTGCCTCTGGTATTGAATCCCAAGCTGCACCGACTTAGGTCGTTTGCGTTCCTCTCCAGGCGACTTGTTATTCGAAGCAGAGTGTGTGGCCAGTGCTTTTGCCGAACCGCCCAAACAACCACACATGAGATTTTTTGTGTTGAAACCGACGATGCATTTCCCTTTTGGCGGGGTGAGAAGATGTCGTCCATAAGCTATCTTTGCGTCCAAGCACAAGGGCCTTGGGTTTTGACACAGCAGCGATTTCGCACTCACTTGTGAGATGGTCCTCGGAGCACAGACTGTAGTTTTGATCTTTTGATTTGCATTTTGTGTGTGGGGGGTGGGGTGTTCGGGGGCGGGGGCAGATTTGCTTGGTGGTATACTGATTGAACAGTCAACCAGAGGAGCAGTCGCAAAGCTTGTTGAGTCGCCGAGCAGTCGCTTCACTCTCTGTCCAAATTTCGGCACTTCTTTTTTGTGGTGACGAGAGCAGACAAGAACTGACCCAAGATGTACGACTGCATTTGGGTCCTGGAATCCTTTGCCTCTCCACCAGCAGCGTTTGCTTAGATGGAGGATCCACTGAAGATCTCCTTGCGGTTCATCGCTACCTTTTGCGGAGCTTCCAGGAGAGCGGTGTGTGGAGAGGTTTGGCCCTCCTCGAGAGCAGCCAGTTTGGAAAACACTAGCACCAAAGGAGTGAGGAGGAGAACCTGAACGATACAGTATCAGGTAGAACATGCAGTAGTTCTTCATTCTTAAGAGTGAAGCAGTATTTTTCTTCCAGTTTGGTGTTCAGACCCAATGTGTCTCAAATTACCGTCACAGATGCCCTGCAAATATATATACATATATATATATATATCATTGCTACGTATACAGAGACGAGATATGCGTTGGTATCTGTTATCCTCAATCATCAACACCAAAAAAAACACACCACCACGCCTTTGCGGGCCCATGACATGAACACAGTCCAATCCCCCATACCCCAGTCCTTGAGCCTCAGCCTCCTGAGCAAGCCTCTTCCAAAAAGCAACTGATTCCACTTCTCTGTAACAAGAAGCTTCTAGTAACAAGTGCATCGCTTCTAGTAACAAGTGCCTTACTAGTAGTAACAAGAAGCTACTAGGCCTCCGGATCCCTATCTGCCCCTGTCAGAAGCCGATCGGATCCACCCTGCCAGACCGGTCTTCCCCCCAAGGTTTCAGAGGTCGGACAACGACAGACCACGTTTTCCCCGCACCAGTTGGTTTCAGAGGTTGGAGAAACCCAACTGACACTGCAACTACAGCCTTCGCTGTGGAGATGAAAGTTTTAGCTTCGGTTCTTTTCGAGTCCCAGGAGTTGCAACCTGGCAGCGCGTGCCTCAAAACGGATGCCAAAATGTCTCAAAGCGGATGCGAAGGAGACAAAATATCAGATGAATACCAGTGGATCATATCCAGGGGGAGAATCCAATAAAGACAAAACATGAGTCATATGTCGGGGTGGTGTGAAACGTCCCCTTACGTGAGTGGATGTGACAGGGCACCCGGACTACCTCCATGGATCGCACCCCGTCGAACGTGACTGCTGGATGACCAAACTTGTCGTTTACTTTTCAGATCGACACCCAAAGACCCATCTTTCTCCCCGTGGGTTCACACCGAGTGTCCCGAGCTCGATCGGTCGGTGCCAAGCGCGGACTCGTGGTGGATCGGTCCGAGGCGTCCGTCTTGAGAGGCGTTGGCTTCAGAGGACCACTGAAAGCTTGAAGTGAGGATCACTCAGAGAGGTCTTGTTGAAAGTAGTGAAGAGGTCGGTTTTTTGTGCTCCGGCTCCTGCAGACCGGCAACACAAGTACGTACCTGCAGAAGGACTCCTTTTTTTTGTGACGCTGCAGTGTTTGTGTTTCATCATTCTTTCCACTTGCCACTCTTGTTTGAGGGAGGCCGTGTCTTTTTGGTCCAGACCCATCATGTAGCATCTCCTTTGTGGCAAAAGCTTCTAACAATCTGCTGGAGGATTGCACATTTTGGGTCAAGCATGGGGTTTCTGCAGTGTGTTGATGCCCGAAGCCTCCACTGTCAAAGCTGTGCTGTGGAGATGTTGTTAGCTCTGCCCCAAGACAACCCACACGCGTGGATGGTTTGGGAGCCGCATGCATTGAGACTTGAGGCCAGAGTCAGAGAGTAGTGCTTCTCTGAGGCATATCTTCAGCTCCTGGACATCTAGCGAGGAGATAAAGCAGACGTTGGAGACGATCTTGTGTCAGGAGAATCGAGACACAGATGAGACAAGTCAATGTGTGTTTTCGAGCATGCTCAACAGGGAAGTAATGTTGATATCCTATGACCCTATGAGCTTCTTTGAGCCAGTTTTTTGTCTTCATATTTTCGACCTGGAGTGATTAAATTCTTTTTGAGACCGCTCTGAAGAGCTAGCTTATTCCACCAGTTCCTAGTGCCTGAAACACCTGTGATACCCATGACATCAGTGTCTCTGCCACTCACAAGAGTGCAAAAGTGAAATTGATGCTCGGAGATCCAAAAGGAAGAGCTACCTGGCAACTCTGAGCAGGTAAACTGAGACATATCCTTGCCTCGTAACCTCCCTCGAACACATGCAATGAGCTCAGTGTGGAGACATTGATGAGCTCCAAACACACATTGAAGCTTCACAAGTGGTTTGGAAGTTGACAAGAAAGCGAGAACATTATACTTGCACATGATCTCCAGTTTGTCGGCCCTGTGCCTTTTTGCGCGGAGTTTGGATCGCCGACAGGATCTTCCCGAGTCTGAGACACAACTCTTGGACGGAAGCTGAGATCATTCAGGTGTTTTGATGTGTTTTGACTCCGGACAAATGGACGATCGTATGAATTTCTTGGTTATCCATCCATGCGCCAATTGAAAGGAGTGAATCTCACACCTGCCGGTGCAGGATATCCGAGGTGAGGGCAGACTGGAAACCTTTGTGTCCTTGGCATGCCTCATGTTCTCTAACCACTACGACTCTGCGACTCAGAAGGCATGATGTTTGCACAGCGGCACACAACAAACGCGCTTGCCACTGACACGCACTGGTATGGTTATCAGCTGCGGGAGAAACACAAGCACGAAACACTGGCAACGGGGTAGTGTGATAATGTATTTCACTCCCTGAAATGATCGTGGAAGTGGAAAATGGCCCGTTGGATGATCATTTTCCTCTACAAGCAGGGTGTTTTCTACTTACAGGTTAGTGACTCAGAGTGCAACATGAACATGAACAAACGGTTGTGTCAACATGATCTGGTAGCATTGTCGAACCTTGGGGCTTCGTGGTCTGCCATGGGCTGCGGCTCTTCGGTGGTTCGCCTGGGAGGCGAGGGATTGTCGCAGCGTCTGCCACACCACTCTGAGTGAACCCTCAGACCCCTGAGCCACTCTGGCTTGGTGCCACCAGGCCACCAACCTAGTAGCAAGGCCAGTTGCTAGTAGCTTCTTGTTACTAGTAGTAAGGCCAGGAGCTACTAGTAGCGTTCTTGCTCCTAGTAGTGATGGCCTTTGCTCCTAGTAGCGATGGCTTGGTGCCACTTCTTGGAGTGTTCTAGACTTCCTGAGGAGAGCTCAACATCGTCCCGGTGCCGGTGGAAGTCAGGGAGGCCACGTGGAAGTCCAGGGGGTTGATCGAATGGTGAACACATGTAATTACTGAATTTCCTTGTTTGGGATGGAACAGGCTAATCGAGATGTTCTTTTTTGTGGCATCTTATGGCACTTCATTGATGTTCCATTAAAGTATGATAAACCCGCTGATGACTGGTGCGATAGTGGCCCTATATAGCACTGTAGTTGCGGGCGACAATTTCGGATTTGTCATGTAGTGCCAGCCCCCTGGCTAAATTCTGTCGTGGCTTGGTGTGTGGGCAGCTCGGCATCGGCCGTGGGCTTAGCCGAAGCCGGGTGAAGAATCCTTGTTTACTTGTCGTCCAACCCACTGCTAAAGACAATCAAACTACTGTATATAATAGATCTAGAATAGATCTATATAGACTCTCTTCACTTCAATTTACAGTATGAAGTTTACGCAAAGTACATCAGTAATATCTGGTACAGCTGATGTCTACCAATGCCTCTTTTTTCGGATGCGTTTCCTCGCCTCACCGGAGGCGTTTCCCTTTCACACTCCAAACAACACGCCTTCACCGGCAGAACGGCTCAGTCAGCTCCGCGGATGCGGAGGTTCAGCTTCGATGTCGGGAAGATCCAGAGCTCTGGAGGGACCGGGTGGACCTCCCAGGCGCGGATGGGCATTAAATATGGAGACTCTGAAGAGAGGTACCCAGTTGCGACTGGGGGCCCCCCCGAAGAAGGTACAAGAGTTGCTTTCGGTCTGGGACCTTGGGAGGCACAAACTGACTGAGCTCTCCACGACTGAGGCTCCCTGCAATCGGAGCTACTCAAGCTCTCCGGGATTTGCCTGGAGCTGGAGGACGCTCACGACCATTCGAATAGCCCTTCGAGCCGCCCATTCGTGGCGACAGAAGCGGAATCGGCCCAACCTCCCATGGAGGACGGCCTTACGTCGCACGGAATTACTGGCCTCGTCGGTGGTGCCATAGATGTAGCGCTGCCGCCGCTGGAGCCGCTGGAGCCGCTGGTGGTGGGTGGAGTGGATGACGTGAGTGGTGGATGGAGAGCACCTTCAGGTGAAGTGCTTGAAGGCTGGGGAGGTTGGGGGAGATGATCCAAACTATTAAACAACAAACGTGCAAGATGTATATTGCATCGCATCGTCCACTCATTCAGGTTGGGATACGGGGACTCAATCGGCTGCACTGCCCACGCTGTGTCAGTAGTGTTTGACAGTAGTGTGTCCAGCATGTATGGTGACGTTTGATGATACAACTATACTGCTAAGGTAGGTTGGAGGCCATTCCTACTACTATGGAGGCACGTGGAGGCCATCGATAGGGTAGAGTGTTGACTGCCCTCGTAGACGCGGACGGATCCTTCGGACAAAGCTGGGTAGACCTACACTTCTAAATACTCGTGGTTTCGTGGAGTTCACCACCTGTTTGGTATTCGGAACAGGGTTGTGTTCATCCTTGCGGTGCCCTGCCATCCACTTGATGATTTCATGTGGGTCCCATCACTTCTAGATATTCCTGGTTTCTCCCTTCTACACCTAGATGTTGCCTGATTTTCAGCTGTCTTCGGTACTGTAGGACCGGTGCTGACTGTCAAATCCGCTGAGCTGGATCCACCAGTCACGAATCCACAAGGCCCTCTAGCGGCACCTTCCACGGCTTGGCCCGGTGAGCAGTGCATCAAGCAGGAAACACAGGCGCCTGATACACAGAGACTCAGCATCCGAAATTAGGGTGACACACGACTGCAAGCATTGTGTAGTCTTTTGGAAAGCCTGGGCCAGGGTCTTCTGTTGCGGAGCAAGATGTGTGGCTCCAAGAGTAGCTCTGTCGGGCCGTGGAGATCATCGTTTAGAGATGTTTTAATAACAATATAAGTTTAGAAGGGCACCTGAGGTTCTTGTGGATCGATGATGTTCAAAAAGAACTAGAGCCCATGGATCACGGACTGATTCTCTGTGAGTCGCTTCAGGCAATCATAGACCCATGTCCCACGATTTGGGGTGTGACTAGACGTCACAACTCTTTTTCAATCCAAAGACCCTTGGCATTTGGCCAGGCGAATTCTCGCCGTGTCGCCCCCGGGCCATCTGAATCGGAGCTGGAATCTGTGTCAGTGAGATCTCCTGACTCCGAGGCAAATGCAAATGCTGTCGTGTTGAACTCCTTCATGGACAGAGTTTTTAAAGAGATACCAGGTCACATGGACATCTTAAGCCGACCAGTTGCGGGTTGACCCAGAAATCCTATCTGCAAAATGATCATATTCTCTTCCGTGCCATGAATGAAGGGATGGACATTTTCAGCTTGGAACCCGTCTTTGGTCGCTGAGCTTTTGACCACTTGTTAGAGTGTTTCTCACAGCTTCTCAACCTACTGGGTGAATGATCATCCAACTGACCACCAAAAGAGATTCTGGATTTTGTGCCGACGCTTGATGCAATCTTCTTTTTGCTGATCCTGAGATTGAGAAACAGTGGCAAGCACGATGCTAGTCCTCACTCATTCCAACGTCCTCCTTGCAGCCAGTGTATTGGTCTTGTATGCCTTGCAGTGCTTGAACGTGTTTTTTTCCGCTAAAAGTGTTCACCAGATACCGAATTGCAACTATTTGAGCTGCCGCAATTGGTACATCGCCCCAATTTCAGCGGTCCTCCACCAGTCTGTATTGTGAGCACTGCAAGCATGTCGAGCCCATGGCTCACGGCTGCGGCTTCTGCGAATGTAGATGTCCGGACATCCCACACCTTTCAGCGAATTCACGTAGCCTCCGGAAAAAGGGCGAAGTTGCGTTGATTTCTGCACGAGTTCGACATGAAATATGCGGAGCAGCAGGTTTCGGGCAGGCTTTTTGTCTCACTGCCTATAGAATCCTATGGTGCTATGGACAATAAACGATATATAATGATATATATATATAGATGCTTCTGTTGGTCAACAGCTCAACAACTTTGTATCAAACGGTGTTCTGTAAGCAGTCTTCCGTTTCGATTCATTTTTGGTTCGGTGGATGGAGCAGGGTCACCCCATTTGTGACATTTGTGGGACATCCGGATGGAATAGGTATCTCATGAAGACTCATGAGTTGGACTAAACTAGCGACAAAAGAGAAACACCCAAACAGATCGATAAGTAAAACCCCACTGGCAATATATTGGACATCGTTTCTGCTTCTATCTATTTGCAGATCATATTATATGATCTATACCGTACCATTCACTCCCAAAGCCGCTCTGGTCCACCGAGGAGCTGCGTTGGCGAGTCTGCGTCTTGCAGGCGGCAGTCGTGAAGGCGCTCCAGGGCGTGGAGCGCCGCAGCCGCTCGTTTCATCGTCCTTGGGTTTCACCCAGTCTTGAAGACAGAAGAAAGAAGTTTGTCTTTGGGAGTTTGTCTTTGGAAGGGTATAGTCTTTGAAAGGGCATAGTTTTTGGAAGGGTATAGTCTTCATAAAGAGCAAAAGAAGTTTGTCTTTGAAGGGGGCACTTGATCAGACACTATACCCAAGAGCTTGCTATCGGGATTATTGGGGACAATGCTATTGGGGACACACGACATAGCTCTTAAACTGGTCGGTATCACGGTTGCACGAATGGAAGGTTCCTAGATTTCAGGAATTTGCTTTAGCAACAGGTCTTGGGATGGGGGACCCGTGGTTCCAGTTGAAGTCGACGCACGCGGCGCAGGTGCCAATGGTCCTTGCCATGTTGAGGCAACAATCCGGGCACATTTGTATATATGGTAAACCCGGGCACTCTGGTTGACCAGTGAGAAGGAACAGATTCCTCTAATTCAAGGAGCAAGAAGATAACACAAGCCATCGTTTGCTTTCAGCGGAAGGCAGTTTACAATTGGCTCGCCGGGCTTGCGGTGTTTTCCACCAGACATGATGATGACCTTGCAGCTACCAGAGAGTGATGTGTCCGCGCCTCCTGTTGACATATCTGAATAGACTGGACATAGTTTGGTGATTCAGCAACCTTGACCAAGAGGACCTAAAGAGTGACCTAAAGTTAAGCACCTGCAAGCAGCCGCCAAGCATATAGGCAAGCGGTTCTGTCCCTTCATGGCCCTTGCGATGCTTTTTGTGAACAGTCATGGCACAACGTGGCACGCATACAGCCTCTTTCTGCTTCCCTCAAGGTGGCCAACAGATTTTCGCGAGGCCGCAGGGACCAGACCGATGACTGCTGGAGCAGTTGTCCTGGGATTTGGTGCGATGAAGATATTAGTTTGCCACACTCTTCCGCTATCCAATTAATACGAAACTCCAGCTTTGAAACAGCGGAAGAGGGCGCTGTTTGGGCGCTGGACCCGTGTGCCGACAGGGTCCGGAACTATTTCCAAGTGCATTGACGTTGACAGCTCTCACCTGGTGGCAGGCCGGATGCTTTGTTGATAGGGTTTCTAACATGCGTGCAGCTTGTAAAGAGCACTAAGCATCACTGATTCATGGGGCCTTGCCTTTGGACATCCAAAACTCCCTACTTTGCACGGCAGCACTGCAGAAATAGATTCGACAGTATTTGTTTCAAAGCTGGGCTCAGCTCTCAGTGATTTCTTCGGCATTTCTTGAAGCGGGGCAACTCGATGTGCTCAAGACGCTCTAGGCTCAAGCCCCTCATGTTCCCGCTGCAATCCGGTCACATGAGCAACTTGAGGCACGGGACAATGGATCTTTCACTTTGTGGGGATGACCGAAGGAACCAGTGGATGTGGAGTTTCCTGGGAATCGCAGCTATTGGAGCTCCTGAGCTCAAACATCAGTTTGGAATACAGCCTTCGAAGGGATTTGCTCTTTGCCAGCAGTGGGAAGCACATGCCATTCCCGCTTCGCGAAGATTTCTTGAACGCAAACACCAGATATTGGCCAATCTGGTGCAGTTGGAACCATTGGGTTTCTCTCACCGAGCTGCCACAACCCAACGGCATCAGAGGCATTTGGAAACGTGGGCATGAACTTTTGTGCCTTCAGGCGCAAGGGTGTCTGCAGTTGAAGGGTTCCCTGCTGTACCTAGCGGTTGCGGCTACACGTGAAAGGCTTAATAAAAGATTCAAGAACCTGTTGATTTACCTTTTGTTATATAGCATTAATCTAGTGACAGGACACCCCAGGATTCTAACATGGAAGGGGGGAATCCACCTCCGCTTTGCAGAAATGTGCGGAGGAGCCCAATTGAGCCCATTGAGCCCATTTCTATTGGGTTCTTTTGTTTCTTTCTTTGGGGCCCCATGCCATGACCCAGGGCCATCGAGCACATTGGCTGTCTGTGGATGCTTCCAGTCGCCCTGCGAAAGTCGAAGATGAGTGTGGCACATCCGCCGCCTGCGCCTGGTGCACTCTGAGTGACGACACCACTTGCTTCACTTGGTTGGAGGGTGATCAGCTACGTTGGGCAGATGGGGATTCATGGACTCGAGTGTCCTTGGAAGAGCTTCAGGACATCACTGCCTCTCTGACTCTTGTACCAAGGTGTTTACCCGTTAGAACGCATTTGATCCTCTCCATCAGGGCTCTTAGGCTCAAGTACGCCGTGCTAATGATTTAATAGGCAGCCTCCAGGAAGTTGAGGGGGGTCTTGAAGGGGCTGTAGTTCATCCCAAAACACACCCATAGGAACGGCTATTCAAAAAAATCAATTGGGTTCTCTCGCTTGCGCTCTCTCTCTCTCTCTCTATTTATCTTTATTTCTGTTATTTTCCCTGCGGTTTGCACATGCACCGGGTGCTGTGTTGAGGAATTCGCTGTCCATTTGTATGCTCTTGAGATCTGTTGGCGATGCAAGAAATTTCCAGGCATCCATCATCGAAAATCAGCTTCAGCAACTTCGTGAGACTTCTGGCACAGCTTATCCATCCTTTTCCGCTATCTTCGTGGTGTTTAAACTGCAAGTTACACAGTTACACATGGCCATGACACAGTTGTTTATGGGTCAAGATCTGGCATGCTAGGGTTGTTGATCGTCTGGAGAGAATTGAGTCATGGGTTTGCGATGGTGGGGCATTACTGGCTCAACTTAGACTCAACTTAGTCATGTGAAGAAGTATAGAAAACATAATCAAACCTATACACAGTTTCTTCTGGCTTTTGTTGACTTTTGGTTTGATGTCTTCATAAAGCAGATGACCACTCCGCAGCAATTGTTGTGTTTCTTCCATTGTTTCAGGAAGGGAGGATCTGATTCCAAAATAATTCAAGATGGATATGCAGAACTACTTCGTTTGGTGCCCATCAATGAAGAACTCTGGCGGACGTTTCAGCACGCTGTTGCCAATCTGCCTCAACTTCTGCAGCAGAGGACCCAAACATGTTTCTGCGATTTACTGCTAACTTTGATAGGGACATCAAGTAGCTTTGATAGGGTGTTCTTCACATGCATACAATAGCCTGCTTGATGGAAACAATCCTAGGTCAGCAGCGCGTTGGCGTCAATGTACCGAACCCCTTTTGGAGTTTGCCCATAGACCCTGCAGTGTGACCGTAGACCTTCGCCAGACACCAAACGCTTTCAGAGACCAGGATTCGGAACACACCCCAGGGTTTTGTGCTGCAACCCCAGTCCTATCATGCTGTTTCTTGGTTTTCATCCTTGGATGGGAGGAGGCGGAGGTATACTGTGGACTTTATCCGCCAGCATTTTCATGTTCTCTACATTGGCCATAGCTTTTTGCACTTGAACTCACGGATTTTAGCCGAGTCCTGGCAAGATTGAAGAGCTAGCAAACCAGATCGCGAAAACAATTTCAGACTTTTCTACTGTATATAAGTGGTATTTACTTGTCAGATTGCCGGAGACCAAGGATGAGGATGAAGAGGCGACCGATGCTTTGCAGTCGCAGCCTTGGGTCAATCAGAATTTGCGGAAGAACCCTCTTTGCAATGATGTTGGGGAATTGCATCGTGATGATTTGGCAGAGGATCTCTTCACTCTGCCAGAGGACATGGGAAGAGAAACTACCCTAGCTGGGAATCCACGCCTGCATTTGTGAAATGTTCACCTGGCACCATCCTGCTCCTGGGGTAAAATGCTGGCCTTTTCAAGGTTTATATATTATATGTTCAAGATGTTGGTGTGATTGACGGATTTTTGGAAAGACCTTTGTTTTCTTCTTTTTAACCGTGTGATCGCTCCAATGACCCACTTGGGCGGGTTTAATTTGGCCAGGAGCGACTTCCAGACACCTTGCCTTTGGAGCACTTTGATGTCATTTGGCTACGCAACTGCCCTGAGCCCTTGACAGCGCACGCGTTGCAGGTCTTCACAGCCATATTGAAAGTGGCCTGGCATGGTATTTTGATGCGCACGATCAAGGTTCAGGTGCAACAGATAACATCATGTGCGGCCAGAGATGCAGTCAACATACTCCGTTGAGGCTTTCGGGATGTCTTGTGAGGTACAAGATTCCCACCTTTTCCCCAACAAACAAAAAACTTCTAAGCTAGAGTTGTGTGGCCATCACTTTGAGGCCGGTGGTCTTTTGATTGCGATGCCCGCCCACTTGAATCCTTCGGTGCAGCTGCCCAAAGCATTGAGCTTGGAAGCAGCATGGGAGTTGGCGGGTGGAGTTTTTATGGCCAACCACGGAGTGACTCAGCTCAACCACATAGTCTCCCTCTTGCTTGGTGCATAAACCTGCCGATTCAGGCGTGTCTTTTTACTGTGCAGTAGGATGTGGTCTTTGCTCAGTATGCAATTTTTGGCGATTGACCGTTCTAAGCGCCCACAACTGAAGGCTACTTGGTCACCTTCGTGCAGAGCTTGGCGGAAGCTTGGCGACAGCACAGAACTGAAGGCTTCATAGAAGCTGTTTCAGCAGCATTCTCGGCAGACAGACATTGTGAGCATGGCATCTCAGCTGACTTGCTCCTGGTCAAATCAATGCTATTCATGTTGCAATATCAAAATGTCAAGAAGTCCAATATGCTTTCCTTTTTACAGCTTGCGCAGATGACACACTGCCTCACTGAAGGGTGTACCACGACAGACTCTGAATGACCGTTGCCCTCCGATCCACTTCAGACCAGCGACCGGATGTGGGCTTTCAGACCTCCTCAGGGCCGGCTTTCTAACTTTTTGAGTCTGAAGAAGATGTTTTGCGTCAGAAGACTGCTGATTTACACGGTGTGGCCGTGATTCGATCTAGAGATGTCTCCTGAAACATGATGCGTCGGGAAAAGATGCTCTGCAGCAGATGCCCCTGTTCTGCTGGGTGAGCCTGATTGGGACTCGTTATTTTACTCCAACGCCATTTAGACTTCACCAACGTGCTTCTTTTCAACACCGCACAGCGCCGATGCAGTGCCCAGTGCCCACTTATCAAATGTCCAGCAAGCATGTTTGATGTCCCAGCCCAGGCGAAGAATCGAACTAGGAACAAGTGCATCGCTACTAGGAGCAAGGGCCTTACTAGTAGTAACAAGAAGCCATTAGAAACAAGAATTAAGTTAAATTCAATCGAACCGTGTCGGGACAGGTCACCTTTGGATCCTCCCATCCATGACCCGTTGGTGGCGACCAACTCCCCCGGAGCGGTGGACGGTGACAGGCGATCTTCCTGGTGGCCTCGCAGCACCTGGTGTTCCGGGAAGAGGTCTGGCGGGTCAGGTGGATGGACCAAAGGCGCCAAGTAAAAACTCTGCCAGGAGCGGGGTCAAAGCAGTCAAGGTCGAACTGCTTGGCACCTGAGTTGGAGAGAAGATGCTTTTCGATCCTTTTTTTAGGGTTCAAGAACATGTTTGAGGTGGGTTTCTAGTTTTGTAGGTAATTAGAGTGTTTTAGATTCAGCTGCAAAGGTAGTATTCCGTCATAGACCATGCAGAGTCCTGAGTTGGATATGACAGACTGTGGTTTTTATCGTGTGACCGAGCCAGGCTTTGAAGCGTTTCACCAGCTTTTGTGCCTGGAAGCCTGGAAGATGACTGGAATCAGCTAAAAAAATGCAATCTTCTGTTAGGCCCCCAAACCTGAGACATGTAAAGATAGATGCATGGCAAATAGATAGCAGGACATAGAAGTGTGCAGAGAAACGGGGAACACCATTTCTGCACTGAGTTTGGAGACATGTTCAGCTGGGGTGGCTCGTGAAATTTGCAGATAGCATTCCAGCTGGGCTGGACATAAGCACACACACACATGCAGGTTCAACACGGCAAAGTTGGACGAGATGCGGTTCGAAGGCGGGATCTGACAGTCAAAGCCTGCGGCCCACATACGTAAGCCTTTTTCGTGGGAGGGTCAAGCTGTTCTGTGCAATTGAGGAGTTTGGAAGAATGTGGAAGATGAGAATGGGGAGTCGGAGGGGGCATATATTAAATATGGGTGTGGCTCAAACAGTATGTGAGGCATGCTTTGAGAAACAAGGATGTCACAGCTCCGAACTCAAATAGCGTCCTTTCACCGGTCGAAGCAAACGGTTCCCAGACCTTTGCTGATTCGCTTGGCAGCCAGTGGCTTAGTGGACTGAGATCACAGACAGACTCACCTGCGCATTTTCATGTTAAGCCGAGATAGAATTTGCTTCATGGCCTTTGCTGGTAGAGTCTGGTAGAGGAAGGTTGTCTCGCTTTGGATTCCTAACTTCCGTTTGAGTGCTTCTTCTCAAACAACACTGGTCCAGTGGGTTGGTACCTTGGAAAGCCAGATCCTAGGCCTTGGCTGCGTCCCATGGGTTGTTGGATGATGCTCGGAGGCTTCTGACAAGGCCGCTGCTCAAGATTTTCCCTTGAGCTTCGGCATAGCCTTGGCAACTCTCCAAAGGCCCAGCAATCTACTAAGATGCTTGCAGAAGCTATGCGACTGCAAACCTGTCATCATTCTCCAATCAATCTCCAAACCTGTCATTCTTACCATCTAATTCTTCAATTCTTGGACCGCCATTTGTTCCTTCACAGCTTCCAGGCTCTCACGCCGCAGCACGTCCACCCAGTCGGCGTTGCTGGGGAGGCTCCGCCGCCTGGTCACAGCTCAGTTGGGAGCCTGGAAGAACAGGGCAAAACAAGCTCGTGCAGCTACAGTATCAGGTTGGAGGCCATCGCTTCCAGGTTGGAGGCCATGCCTACTAGAAAGAAAGGAAAAAGAAAAGGAAGAAAGGTCTCATAGGTCTCATAGATGTCATCCCAGGCAGTAGAGGACTGCACCAAGAGGATCTGACTTCTGAACTTTCCCACATGGGCATGCGGCATAGCAGCATCAGAAAGTTCTGAACTGATATGGCGGTCATGATTCATTATGTGCTTCAGCCCAATGCTGTTGGGCTTCTTGAACCTCCAAGGCCCCCTGCTGGGCCAAAAGTGGGCTGCTCAGAGCGAGAAGCGCAGGGCTGAAACCGGTTTTGGTCTCGGCAGGACAGTTGCACCCGCAGGATCCCTTGCTCCTAGTTGCTTCTTGTTACTAGTAGTAAAACCAGGAGCCCCTAGTAGCGTCCTTGCTCCTAGTAGCGATCGTAGCGATGCCAGGAGCCCCTAGTAGCGTCCTTGCACCTAGCAGGATTCTACCCAAAACTGACATGCAAGTCTTCAGTCTTCATATTCTGTTCGGATCTTTAATTATGTCATATGTGGAAGCGGTGATAAGATGGCATTGAAGTGGAGAGAGAACCACCAGCAAGCCACTACTGACTCCATCATGTTTCATCTACAGATCCTCAAGCCAGGTCCCTAGACTAATGGCCCATGGTGATGGACCATCGGTGACCATCGTGGCCCGAACCACTAGTTGTTGGAGGAAGACAATCAGATCAACCCTAACCAAGTGAGCTCTATAATTAGTATAGAACCGATGTGCATCATGTGCATCTGCAGAAAGTAGAACCTGAATAAGAGCTTGACCAGCCAGTCCTCCAGTTCAACTCAGCTTCAAAACGTTGAGCGTTTGGGGTGTATTTGACCAGTAACAAAAAGCTACTAGGTGGAGGCCATATGAGGCCATCACTATTAGGTTGGAGGCCAATAGTAACAAGAAGCTACCAGAGGGTTCCGGCATCGCTACTAGGAACAAAGGGCATCGCTACGATCCCACCGGCACCGGGTCAACTCCAAGCACCACCCGGTATGCCGGCGACCGGAGGGGCCGAAGAAAGCCGGTGTCTCTTTGCTCGAAAGGGCCGACCATGCGCTTGGGAGCTTAGTGCTTCACAGGACTTCACTGGAGTTCACTGCTGCAAATGTCTTTGCTTCTGTAAATGTCTTGGAAGCTGGCATCGAGAACGCAACCCATGTTTTTTTGTGATGATGAGGGTGATTTCTGCTGTTTGTGAAGTTTGGGTCCACAACTAATAGGCAAGCTGCAGCAACTGTAGATGTTGATGTGCTGTAGCAACTCAAGCGATCTTGGCACAGAGTTCCTATTCTCCCATCCAGGCTATCTCAGCTGAAAGCGGCCGTGTTTGGAGGACGCCTACCTGGCCTACGCAGATGTCTTCCAACTTGTTTGACCACTCGTTTCCATCGAGCTCATCACTGTTGAGTACAAACTGAGTACTGCTTTGAGGAACAAGTCCTAAGTGCTTAGAAGAGTGTATCCAGAGGTATCTAGATCATGTTCATTGAACATGAAACAAACGTATAGAATGGAGATCAGGAAGCGGCCAGGGAAAACGACATCACACACACACATTCGCACCATCCACGTCTTGTTGGAGGATCACCTATGGAAGACGTGACCCAGGCCTCAGCAGACTCTTTGCCGAGTTACCGCGAGCTAGGGGATTGCCTTTCTCTTTCCGCACTTGAACCAGGATATTTTTCATGATCTTCATGCTCTCTTGGCACTGCGAAGCGGAACAGTTTTGTGGGGTGAGATGTTGTCATCCGTGAGTCAGTGATCCGACAAGACGCAGCACAGAACCAAATCCACCTGGTTAAACACAGGATCTAGAGCACCTGGCCTGCCATCCTTTGGCCGAGTTCCCAGAAAACCAGTCTGACTGGAACCACCAACTTACTTGACTGGAACGACCTGATGCGGAGAAGCCTCAACGGCCTCAGGTACAGGTTGTGAATTCAATCCGCAATCCCATCGAATCCTCAACGGCCTCAGCACGTCCAAGTCGACGAAAGCGTTTCCTTCAGCAAAAGAAGTCAACACATGCTAAGATCGATCGCCTTTTTCCAAGTCGATTTCTGTCTCCTGAGGTGTCCAATGCCTCACGTGCAGCCTTCCGGTGTTGGATGCTGGGGCACTTGAATGGGCCCTCCGCACAGCCCTCTGCGCATCGATCGACAAGCAGAACATCGATGTGTCATCCAGAAGTATCCAGACATGCTGGACTCGTCTGACGCGGAAGTGTCGCTCAGGCGTTCGAATCGCCGCTTCCGTGCGGCGGAGATGCTTGAACTCTTGGGACCATTTGCCACTTTACCATATGCATCCATATATGCATGATGGTGGGAATAGCCGAAGACGAAAGGGGGAACACTTCGAGTGTAAGGGAATACCATCAAAATGAATGATCACCTACATACGAGTCTGAGGTTGAAAGTCCTTTTGGTCTTGCGCCTTGCGGAAGTTTTTCAGTTCACGACATCGGTCTAAACGCCAAGAACCTGTCGTGCCCAGGCTCCTCTCCCAAATGGTTTGTGATGGCACCAACCTGGCAGAAGTGCCAGAGAGCTTGAGCTCGGCGTGCAAGGAGGCCTGGAGACCCCACAGCTCGTCGTTCGCCTTCGCATGGTGTTCGTTCCAGAGACCGAAACGACCATTTGTCCCACAGCATTCCAGTGATTTTCCAAATTCTAGGGACTTCCTGTGAAGCATGGTTGATCCATTTTGATCCACACCTTGGACCCAGTGTTATATTTTTATTCCCTGGTCAACATGCGAAACATCCCCTGCTGGCAGGCATCCAGCTTCGCTTCCGCGCGCTTGCTGGACTTGAGGCGATGCCACCGGGGCCAGCACGACCAACGGATGTCCCGCTTCAGAGCTGTGAGTCCAAACCCGGGGCACCAGTCCACGTAGCGAAGGACCGCCAGGTAGGTCAACCGGTCGGTCAGGTGTCCTGGTTTTGACCGAGTGGAATTGCGAGACTGTGGTCGACTACGAACCATGTGACGTAATGCCCCATTTGATCCTATACATGGCTTGCATCGATCAACGTGGTGAGCCCTAGCGTTCTATGTGGGCGATGAAGCTATGTCACCCTGCTGAGGCCGTTTGGTGCAAAGGCGGCCTTAGAAGTGCTACCATTGTAGCAGCCTTTGTTGCACCAGTGCCGAAACAGGTGCCGAAATGCGTGGGAGCCACCTATGCTGCATATATGTACGTAGTTTTTTTTTATTTTATTTTTTTTTTTATTTTTTTTTTTTTATGTTTTTGTATTTTTCCAGACCTTCCGACATCGGCAAGATTGGCCAGTGCGGTGTGCCATGAAGCAAGAACATAGATGCTCACAACATGATGCCATGTGATGCCCGTAGCATCGCAACTTATATTGTAAGTCTGAAGCATTCCCTTCATATCAATGACAGGGCCCATGTTCAAAGCCTCCAACATCTCCCTCCATGATATTGGTCGTGCTAGTTCGTGGTTCCACTATCTGAGGCCGCGATGCCTTTTTGGCGTTTACCGGGACCTTCAGGTCCACTGACTGATCAGTTTAGCAACGAATTGACGTGTATTGCTGTTGGCGTAGTAGCTTGGTTGCCAGTGCCACAAGCACAAAGCCAGGAATTCTGCGTCCAAGTGTCTTTGAAGCCCAGTTAATTATTCATTGTTCATGACTGTCAAATCAATCAAGAAATCAACCTTCATGTAAACATATGTAAGCATTTTTGCTGTAGAGCTAACAGCTAACATGGACATGGAGGCAAGGGTGGGATTTTTTCTTTGCAATTTGTGAGGCTACGTGACACATGGCTTCGGGGGGCAAACTCTTCAGATGTGCTCCTGGCTTTTCTAGACTTTCCAGGCTTTTCCACGCTTCGTTGGACGTCTTTCATTCGGAAACACGCGTCTTCGCAGTCCAACCAACCCGGAACATCCGGCGGATCGTCCCTCCCCGAAACGCCGTGGAGCGTAACGAACCGCGTCGGACCGCGTCTCTGCGTCTCAGGTGAAGGTCTCGGCGAGTTGCAGGCCGAGGGGGGGGGGGGGAAAAACGCGGCGCGAGGGTCGCCGTTCACCACTGTCGCTGAAGGATCTGTGCGGATCCTGGATTGGGTGCTTGGAAGTCTGCAACGCATTTATACCAGTGGAGTGAGTTATAGCCGTCGCAACCGTTGAGCTGTTACCGGGCCCTTACTGGCCCCAGATCAACCATTATATCGGGTGGATCTTGGGGGTGCTACAGGGAATCTTGGATCTGGGGCCCTTGGATGCAGAGGTTGGGCTGGTCTCTAAGCCGGTTAAGACAATGGGGCCCAACCGCCGGGATAATTTATTTATTGTTTGCAGCAAATAAGACTATTATTACTATCTTCTTTATCATTCCCTTTAAGTTTTTTAGAGACTATTCATTAATACTTAATTCCTGATCGTTCATGCAGGATAAAGAGACCATATGATTGAACCTTCATGAACGATACCAGTTATTTTTATATCCAGGATTTCATCATTGCATGTTATTCCACTTCAGATCTTACAACGAAATCCTGGATCATAGATCAAAGATGATTTTTGGGTTTTTAGGTCATTAAGAAATCGAGCGCTACAACCCCCAAAAGCATATGATGGTTTAGTTTATTCCTGTAGTCTTCCTCCAAGGGGCCATGGATTTTATTTCAGGAATGTCATTATTCAAATCAATGGCATGAACACCATCAAAATCTTAATTGAGACATGTGTATATGGAGCATTCCCTGAGTTATTGGAACCCACTGTGGTTTCAACCCCCCACGGTTTTGTGATGCATTTCTCGCTGGGAACACCGCAGGCCTTCCTCTATGCCGGGCCCGGAGCTGCTCCGAATCGAGGGTGCCAGAGGCTTAGAAGGCGGTATCAGGTGATGCATGGTGATGCTGTGTGCAATGTGCGTGCTGAAGCCCTGGAATGCAGGATGTATTTGATCATGTTTTGGAGGTGTCTGGCCAAGAATGTGTTCAATTCGACCACTGAATTTGCATAATTTTGTACTTGGACTCGCGTAGGTCCGCAGGTGGTCAATTGCAAAGCGAACCAGAGCTTTCCAGCGGGTGACATGATCCGCATCCATCTATGAATCTATGACTAAACCTGCTGGGTAGGATGTAACATAGACATAGACAATATACAACGAATTCTATTATATAGACATCCAGTTTCAAAGCTTCAGGTGGCAACAGCCCTTTACAAACCATCCTCCCACATCCATCATTATTTGAGGCTCATGTTCGAGTCTCTGAGTTGTGGGAGTTGTAGCGGAGGGGTGACGCTACTGGTGCCCTTTCAATTGGGACGTGACGCGTCACCCGTGACTGGCGCCGTCGAGGAGCCCGCGATCGAGAATGCTGGCGCTCGCCGGCGTCATGCCGAGGTCGCTCACGAAGGGGCAGAAGACACGGTATATACCAGGAGTCACAGAGCTCGGGGTGGTGTGAAACGTCCCCTTACGTGAGTGGATGTGACAGGGGCACCCCGACTACCTCCATGGATCGCACCGACTGCTGGTAGGTAGATTTCCACGGATTGCAATCAAAATCGGAGCATGCATGACACGTAGCAATCTAGGTGAACCTTGCTGTACACCTTTGGGGGTCTTCATTCTTTGTGTGAGAGAGGAGCCGTTGTGCCATTCAGCATTTTCATGCATTTGAGCGCTTTTTCGAGAAGCAGACGCTAAATTGCCTGGGACATGAGCCCCCTGGATTGACATCCCGTTGTGACCAACAGGCCGTTCATGAAGTCCAGTCCTAAGCACAGCTTGACACTGGGCAGGGCTGGACTTTCTGGCAGTTGGAGGGTTGGCTGCTTTTGGTGGGTTTGGACCAGAGGTGTTCCTGAATGTAGATTATGTTTGTTCCATTTCATACACACCAAAACCGAAAAGATGTCTAACTGTTTGAACTTTGAACCTCTGGATCTACGGCTTTGACTTTTCATCATTACACCGCGCGAGAAGAACGATTTCGTCATGGAGCGAACATACCTCCCACCTCCCCACCCACTCTGGAGTACAGGAATCGCATGGTGAACATTGAAGGGAAACCCTCAGCTCAGAAGAGGGAATCCAGTGCAGGTGCCAGTAAAGCCGGTCCTTGAACCCCCCAGTTGACTTGCAGCCATGATAGCCATGTAGTGCTGATTGGGCATCAAAGCTGTGTGGCACAAGCCTAGTCCTTCTGTCACCGCGCATGATTCGGGAAATGGCCCGAATAGGCACCTACACACCCTTTTGGCAAACCGCCAAAGTGTACAGTTGCAAAGCAAAACCACTTCCTTTTATTAAAATAACTATTGAAACAGGTCTGGCAAGACTACATACACAAGAGGAGCTTTCTTGCATTGCTGACAGACATCCAAACTTTACTTAACCTGGGCAGGTGGGCATCAGAAGGCTGAGCTTTGCTTATTACTCACTGTAAAACAAGTAGACATAAATAAGCGAGCACCGCCATTCCGTCATTTAATGTCATTTGTCTAGTATACCTTGGCCAATGTTGGACTCCATCGATTGCAAAGCATGAGCCTTTCAATTGAGCACCGATTAGTAGTACCTTGGAGAATCCTTGAACTGCCCAATTTCTTTGGAGGTTTGTTCTGATGGAGAGGTGGATCAGCAAACACATGCCCCAGGCTTGGCACTCCAGCAGAATTGTGGCGGTGTGCGATGGTGAGGCACAACGTCCCAAGTGAGCTAATCGACAGAAAAGAGAGATTTCAAGCAATGAGCACGCTCTGCCAAAATCAACATCAAGGCGCTCAGAAGTAGTTATATAGGCATGATTTTCCTCTACTAGTACTAGGGCTCAGTACTAGTACTAGGGCTCAGTACTAGGCGTGGTTTTCGGTGTCTTTTGAGTGTGGTTCCTTTGGATCGCTGTCCAATTTGTTCGACCAAGCTTGGCGGTTTTTCCGAGAGGTCAGGATCTCCAGGGCAAGGTTAGGTCAGCTCTTTGAAAGGATCGTGAAGAAAACAAATGACAGTCCAATTCCAACAGCTTAAATCTGGCACATTGAGTCGGGGATTTCCACGAAGGTCTTACAGTCGTATATACAGGTCTTCAACAAAAGCTCCCATCCTGTGATATCTCGTGGTATGCTGCGGGCCTTGCGGGCCTTGCAATTCTCCAGGCCTCGATCTCGTGGGAAGTTCTTCGACGATTCCCGAGTGATGCTCCCAGATTCTTCGTCTTGTGCCATACGGCATCTCGTGTATCCGACATGGACACAACCAGAAAGCGTACAAGTTGGATCGAGAGCTTTTCATGGTGCAGCAACAAAGCCCCGAAATGGCCGGGTGAGATATCCGAGAAGCACCCTGCAGCCTCTTTTTGAGGTCATATCCGAGAAGCTGAGTCAGATCCTCCTTTGGTGCCATGCCCAGTGGTCCTGTTGCACGGTATCTATCCCATCTATTTATACAATATATAATATACTGGAAAATCTATATAGCAACATTCATGGGTGGATCCATGCCTTCCTACTCCCCATCCATGAATTGTAAGAGCAGTTAAAGGAGTTGAAAGGGTGTAAGATTTCATGCCGCTGCTTGCTTTCACCCGCTCCTTTACAGACATTTGCTATTTCTTAGAGCATCTTAGAGCCTTCTTAAAGAGAACCCTTAAACAACAAATCTTGACGGTGCCAGACATGACCATGATACCTTGGACTTACATAAGTTCCTAACTTTGTTTCAAAGTCGTATAGTGATCGCCTGGTGTAAACCAACTAGCAGGAACAGCACCTTTGAGTATTTGAGTTGAAGCTATGCTAATGCTTCTTGGGCCTTGACATCCGATCTTGGTTCGCAAAGCGGAACGTCACCAACGCCCTTTCCTGCAAACAGCAAACTGGTCAGACGTTCTGCAGCCAACGACTGCTGCGTGCCAGTTCTGTGGAGGCTGGCTTCGGTGCACTCAACCTTTTTTTGTTTCATTTTTCCGAGAGGTGATACTGGTAGACTAAAAGACATAGTTCTCCTTTCTGCAAGCTTTTCCAGGATGTGAGATGTAAAGAAGGTTGTTGATCATTTTTTGGAGCATACTTGGCATGAAAAGAATCTGAGCCCTACCGGAAGCTCGGGGGTTGTGGTATCGTCCAACAGTTCTGATCATCCTTCAATCATTTCACTTTACAGATACTCTTTTCTGATTCTGCACTGTGTCCTAGATTACAGCTGGCCTACCAATGCACTCGTGATCAACTCTACATACTCTGTGGGACCTGCATCGGACAAACCAAGTTCATCAAACATTGTGATCTCAACAACAAAACAAACAACAAACGGTGAACTAGATACAGTAGCCTTCGACAAAACTGTCAATATTCCCTTCAAGACCGTTTGTATGTTTGTCAGGACCAAACTGATCTATTTGGAAAGTCTGGCCGTTTGTTTCGCACTTTGTCGCCAGGTCTCTCTGCTTAGCTCCTTGGGCATTGTTTTGGCCATCGGAAAGGTGGAGGTCTCAGTGACATGGACCTCGCGTTGGTGTCACCCGTTGGTGTCACCGGCGACCTGAACCGCGGAGCCCAAACGGCTGTGAGGCCGACCTCAGCAGACGGGAACTCAGACTGGACGAAGCACGAAAAGAACGATTTGACTTGGACTGTGCTGTTGATCCACTTTCCAACAAACGGAGGCAACACAGAACAAAACGGATCTTTCCAAGCGCAATTCCTGAAGCTGTGCTGTAGCATCGATATATCTGACATATTTTGACATCGCAGCGATCAAAACGACCTTTGTCGGCGGCGACTTGAGCCGTTTTCACGCCTGAGGTCAGATGTCACAACCTGAATCACAGGCGATTTCAAGTGACCTGACCAAGTCCGAGCAAAGCGTGGAAAATGGACCTGGTTTGGAGCATCCCGCAGGGTGGTTGCAACATGAGGTCAGTATCCATAGGATAAGAGTGAATCAGACCTGTCCTGAGGTTTTTGAGGACAACAAAATCAAGACTTGTAGCAATTTCAAAGGCTGAGAACTATAATTAATGTATATTAATGTTCAATTAGCTCAAACATGAGAAAACGTGAGATAAATGCAAGGGTGTACCGAAACGCGACTGTGGACAATTTGAGCAAAATTAGCCGCTGCAGTGAATTGTTTTTTGAATTGAGTTCACGGTAATTGCATGCCTTTATGCGTTTAATTCCTTTCATTTTCCCTTTCCTTTCCATTGCCTCTTTCCTTTTTGTTTTCTGTTTGTCGTTCTTTCTCCTTTGTCCATTCCACCATAATTTTCACAAACATGTTTCACACTAATTATGTAATTGTTCAAGTTTCATGTCATGTGTTTTTTAAATGTCCCTTTGCATAGTATAGAACGTTTCTCGTTTTTTTTTCTGTTATTTTTCGGTGTCTTCTGATTTCGTTTGATGTTGCATGTCCAAAACACCCCACTGATTCGCATTCTGGTTGTGCTCCACTTCCTGAGCCGCAGTGAGGCCATGTGATTGGCCATGTGTCTCTTTTCTCCGAGCTGCGCTTTTCTGACATCACTGGCTGTTGGTCGCCTCTTCCCTCAACTCTCCCTCTCTCTCACTCCCAGCCTCTCCATCTCTTCTTACATACTTCTAAACAGGGAACCGGAACCTACTAGCGATGGCCTCCACCCTAGTAGCGATGGCCTCCAACCTAATAGCAATGGCCTCCAACCTAATAGCGATGGCCTCCAACCTAACGAGAGGAGCTACTCTTCAGTACTGAAGTTAGAGGAAGATTGTTTGGGTCCTGCAAGTCTTGGAACAACTTAACGGACAAAGACGGCGACACACAATACAATTCAACATCTCGTCGTGCTTGCAAAAATTATATATATACAATAAACGTGCTCGTGACTGCATGTTCATGGTCTTTCCCAGCGCCCCATGCCAAGGTTTTTGTTTGACTGCAAAGACGTGATTGTTCTAGATCGACAATTTGACTGGGGGCGGGTAGCGGAGTTCAAGCAGGGACAGCACCCCAAATTTTGGGTGTCAAGGTACGCACAGGACTTGGTGAATCTTGAAGTCCGGATTTTATTGTTGGAATATTTGCTTTGCTAGGCATGGAGCAATGACATTCAACAACTCGTTGACATCATGATGATGCAATTGTCTATGGTTGTCACGGAAAACCGTGCAATCTTGGAGCATTTTGCTCACTCAAAAGGATTCCTGCAACTTCTCTTTGACCCACCAGCTGCACCACTATCAGAATGTTCAACGGCCAGTGTTCTTCTACCTCAGGCTATGTGAGGGACCCAAAGCACACGATGTGACCAACCATGATGCCCAACCAGAGATAATGCATCTGATCTTCTGTGCGAAGCTCTCCGTTTTCACCGATCATTCAAAACATCCAACAGAACAAAGTGTCTATGAGTCTATGGTTTGCTGACCGAAAGAAACTCAGAACTCTGCCGATGGCGCCATGGCAGCAGTCCCGTTCCAAGCTGGGCTGCATTCGCCGCACCTCTGTGGGCCGTATGCGGCCACAGTGGTGGGGCCAGAGGTCAAAGATGCTTCACCAACCGGATTGCAGGCGACGTGTTTCCACATGACTGCTGACGTGTGCCACTGGTGCATCGAGGTCATTCGCCCACTTCAGTTTCCCAAAAACAACTCATGACATGTAGGAGATTCCATGTCTCAAAACCAGAGATGTTTGGAGACTTCCACGCAGTGCAACGATACGAATGACCATGTCTGTCCCAGTAATGGGCCTGCTCGGTGTGTTTCCTTCGCAGGTCTACTGCGACTTGGATGGGGTTTTGGCGGACTTCAACAAAGGCTGCTTGGAACTCTTCCCTGAGGGAGGCATCATCGCTGAGAAGATTCCCACCCATTTGGTTACGAAACTCACCTGGGAGGAGGAGACTGAGATGTGGAGACGAGTGGAGGAGACCAGTGGAGACCTGCCGGCAGTGAATGGAGCCCCTTGTTGAGCCTTTTCGGGGTGAATCAATGATGGTGAATGGATTGATTTAGAATCTGCTTTCGACAAGTAAACTTAAAAACCCAGATTTGGTTTTCATTGATACCGGCATCAAACAGATTTGGTTGTAGGTTTCCGGCATCAAACCTGCAATCCGTGGAGGAGAAGTCGGACTTCTTCCTCTCTTTGGACTGGACCTCGGATGGTGACTCGACCCAGCACAGCAGAAGCCGAGGAGTTGACGTCTTGTGTGTTTCCCAAGTACCAAGGGTTGGGAAGCCTTGGAGAATCACTGCCAAGGTGAAACGATGTGAAACGCTGGTCATCCTGAGGGACCCGCTAGGTTTCACAAGGTTTAAGAACTTCAGTCACTCAACTGCCAATTAAGGTTCTTTTGTGCAACCTGATCCATGATTGATTAAGTAGCAAATCCATGATTTCTCCAACAGATCTCCCCATTTCAGCAGCGTTACGACCGGTTCTCCCCGTAGGACCTGTAGGACGACTCTCCGTTCGTTGTCGAACGATCTCGAGGCGAGGAACTCTGGCGCTGGATCGATTGGAACGTGGTGCCCTCCCCAGCCATCTTGACCGGTTTGCCGATGGGACGTGCGGGACAGATGGCTTCCAAGCAGAAGGACGGCGAGAGTCGGATGGGATCGAAAAGACACGGAAAGGGGGATGAACGGTTGTCATGGGACCATGGGTCTTGGATCGTAGCTCAAGGGCCTTGCGAGACAAGTGCTGGCAACATCCAGCGCCTGAGTTTTAGATCAGCTCCTGCATATCGTCCACGGAAGGCCTCTCTTGCATAATCCTCAAATGGGCCTCACAAACGCTTGCGAACATCGACAGCCCAATCCCGTCAGTCCGAATTAGTCTCAGTGTGCTCCCTGCCAGCGTTGCAACAAGTGGATGCGTGCATAGCTCGAACGTGGGTCCAGATACAATCTTGTACTGTTACAGTTTGGTGCATCCGTGACGTCCACAATCCTTGTTGGTGGAAAGCACAGATCAGAAGTAGAAATAAGTATTGCGATGATTTGTGGGATAGGGCCTTTTTGGCGCCTACTTTGTGCAAGTTTCTCCATGGACGACTGTGACTTGAGATTGGATGGCTCACCCTAAGTTTGGGAAAACCTTGTTTCTTGGATTTGATTGAACAGTCCATCCTCCATCATGCACCGTTGCCAGCTAAGAAAAACGTCCCCCAACTCTTAATAGCTCTTCACATCTGCAAGGAGCAGTGGTGTCATCAACGGCTGGGATCTCATGTGACGGTCTTTTGCTGTGGAACTCGTTCCTCGGAGAGGATGGCAAATAACACAAAGCAAAACACTCAGATATAATTCAATCATATTCAATCTGAGTGTTGGATTGAGCCATAACACCAAAGCAATCTTGGTTTTGATGGAGGTTTGTACTTTTGTGGGATTTTGGATTATGGCACCCCTCAAACTGTCTTTGTCAGACACCTCCAGAATCATGGTGTTCCGATTCAACGCCAAGGTAACAAGCAGAAGTTCAGCGGCCCCAACTGCATCTTGATCGATGACCGCGGTGACTTGCGAGAAGCCTGGGAGGCACGAGGTGGGCTCTTCATTCATCATACCTCCGCCGCCGAGAGCATCCGCCAGCTGCGCGAAGCCTTGAACGCCTTCCATCGAAGCGATCGGAGCCGGCCGGGCGAGGAGAAGAGCCCCCGGAGCGTCTCCACCGTCGCAACGTCCTCACCGAGCACACTTGGTGCTCCTTTGCAACTGACCAGCGTTTGTTGGGCTGCGCAGACACCGGCAGGGTGCTTCAAAAAGAACTGCCGATATCTCCATGTGCCAATCTCGCAACGGCATCGAAGTTGGATTCAACTTTGGGGCTTTGTGTGGTGGCATCAGAGGATGTTTGACGATCTCTCCAGCTTGATCCAATGTGCCGCAGATTTGCATCAGTTGTTATTTTTTATTTCGGTCAATCTCCGAGCGTTGTTCTCTTTGAGCTTGTGTTGGCTTGTGCGTACCAGTGGCTGCTGGTTGGGGAAAGGGTAGGCAACCCAATCCATGTTGGAAATTGAGAGACACCTCCAAATCCTTAGGTGCAAGTGCATTTGTCGATATTTATGAGTCAGAGCGAATGCAATTGAGAAAAACATCAAATCAAAGTGAGATAGTTCACCCTCATTGACTGGTTGGTACATGTTGGCACAAGGGAAGGGTTCTTTCTGAAAAGCTTTGACATTTGTCGGCCAAAGCTACAAGCTGCAAGGTATCCGTGCAGTATATGCCCCAGATCACCAGGCTGCCTTCAAAGGTCAAAATGATCAGATGGACGAGCAGTCACAGGGAGCTTTCCGCAAGATGCTGGAAACCCTTCGAGAGTGCTGTGAATTGGGATTGCCGCTGACCTTTCTACAAGATCACCAAGGCACCCAGTCTACCCAGGGCACCCTGATGGCTCCGTCACCTTTGCCACCACTTCCTTGGCAAGTGAAACAAGTGCACGAGAAGATGACAGAGGTGGCCCGGTTCCTCAGCATATGACACGACTTCAGGTCGCAAACTGATTCGCTTGGATTGGCTTGGATAAACTTGGACCAAAGACTTGACTTGCCCCGCAAGCCCACAGGCCTTAGTGTGATGATCAGAAAACAATAGAAAACATTGTTTCATGAATGAAAGGACATCGGATCTCAGCTTCACATACATTGAGCGATTCTCAGAAGACGGAGTCCCTTGTGCAAGTGGTGTGCACACCCGTAAACTACAGGACTTTGCTGTACCCTGCTGCAAGAGACCTTCAAATTAAACTCATACTAGGAGCTAGGACGCTACCAGGGGCTCCTGGCCTTGCTACTAGGAGCAAGAAGCTACTAGGGGCTCCTGGCATCGCTACTAGGAGCTAGGACTTTGCTGCGTGAGAGCTGAGGTGAGATCCCTCTCGCTGCTGGGGCCCGATCCACACTTGGTGGTGGCCGGCAGCATGGGTACGGCCACCTGGTCGGGACCGAAGGTCAATGGGAGGGTCATTTGATGGTCATTTGAGATCATGAAGATCTTGAGACCAGGGTGGACGCCTTCAACCGGTGGACTTTGGGAAATCCAGGAGTTTCACCATGTTTGCGCGCACCAGTTCATCCTATTGAAGGACAGACTGACAGACTCTTGAAGTTTGGGGCAGTCTTTGCCTTGTAATTTGTGCTGAATCACCCTCCAATCCACAAGGGTCAGGCAAATTCCACCAGAAGAAGCATGAAGAAACCATCAAGCTGACTAGCAAGCTGTATTGAATTCATGCATGTTTCATGTCAGTCCTTAAGACCTTTCTTTCTCCATCCGATGACGCCTCTGAGGCCTCGGCGCGGATGTCGGCGGGCGGGAGGACCCAGTAGCATGTGACGCATAGCACAGTGATCTTTGCTGTTCGGCAGCTAGACTACTAAGTAGACGTCACACTATGTGTAGAATTCAGGTGTTTCGTCTTTCTCCAGTTCTGCGTGGCCCTGGTGCAATTTTGTCTGGATCTTGATGAAGCGCTGAGGTCAGACCTGGACTTGGTCCTTTGCTGCGAAGGCGAGGCAACGAAGCTTTTGAGTGGCGTGCCTCATTTGTGGTGCTTCCATGATATTCATGGTGCATCACAGGAAGCAGTTGCAGGATCCTGACTTCTGTATGTCCTTCTGTTGGAGAATCCATGTGCCCTTCAAATGGGTTTCTTGGGGCATGTAACTATGATGAACTATATGCATATTAGCATCATCATATGAACTCCATTCGTCATGATTTGCGGCATTTTACTTTGGTTTTCAATGCGCACATGAGCTAACAGACATCGTACCCGAGAAACGGACGACGCCTCCGGTCTGTGCCGGTCGAGGTGGATCCGAGGGTGGCGCTTCTCAGCTTGCGGGATGCCTTGACAGAGGCGACCCGCTTGGGTCGGTCCCGGTGGTAGGTTCAAGAAGGTTCTTCCCTTCCAAGGACGGAGGAATGATGCATTCACAGCGTCCGCAGACTCTTCCTTGCCCACTGTCTTGTGCTCAACATGCTTCCCATCGCATCGCTTCCGCGGCCGCTGCACTGTCAGGGTGAAGCGACCGAGGTGGTCTTGCTCGATCAGGTCGGACCGGGCGCGATCGAGAAGTCGTCACCCGGTCGCCCTGTGGTGTTCGTACAGGGTTATGGTGCCGCGTGATGGTTGGCTATTAAATCTGAGGTGGATCATCGCTATGTATATATATAGTTACGTAGTTATAGATATGGAAGTTTGTGCACCCATCCTGCCTTGTGGATCAAGCCTTCCAAATAATACTTCAGAAAAATAGAACGCACTGCTCACGAATGCGCGGTATCTCACAAACAGCGCGGTCAGCATGCTGTTCCAGCAGATGGAGTGAAAAAGGTCTTTGATCATAAAGAAGATTGCTCTTAATAGCGATGCCCTTTGTTCCTAGTAGCTTCTTGCTCCTAGTAGTAAGGCCAGGAGCGGAGCCCCTAGTAGCGTCCTTGCTCCTAGTAGCGATGCCAGGAGCCCCTAGTAGCGAACATTGTTCGGTAGGCACAGCCAAGGTACAAGATGAAACGGCAAGACAGGGGGAAGGATAGCTGAATGTGCAAGCAGGGATGCAAATGCGGTGACCGTTTCTGCCGGGCGGGTTTGGTTTGTCCCGCGGGTCAGGGCCTTAGACCCCCCGGGGGAGTGACGGCCAGGCTGCCATGTCCTCCCCAGACTCCCAGTGGGACGTCTATCAGACGGCTATATGCCAGTCTAGGGTAATGGCTCGGTCTTGGTGATACTCCTGGTTCTTCCTTTTTACTTCTTTTTGTCACTTTGCTTGGCTGTGCTGAGTGAGTGGCTGCATACTTTGTCCCTTGGTGATGGGTATGTTTTGGTGTAGGGATGGCCGGTGCGCCCAGAGTGAACATTTGGGTTTGGTGCCCTGGTTTGTTTTTGCGGCTACCACCACCGCGACCTCATCATCATGCATTTGTGGCCCACTGATCCAAGCAGAATCGCTGCCAGACCTCAGTTCCATTGCTCAGCTTCCGCTTGGGAGGACCGGGGGCATGGACAGCTTGTCAAACCGGACCCAGACACCCTAGAGACATGAGACGGTCTAAGGCGGTATAGGCGTGTGTCGAAGGATGAAACCATGGTGTGTTTCCAATGTGTTTCCATGGAATTCGTGCCACCCTCCTTGTTTTGCTCGGTAAGCATCCGCCCCAGACTAGACACCTCTTGACATCTCTTGATTCTTTTGCACGTTACGGCCTTTGGGCTTTGCAGGACTTTCAGTGGACCTCACAATGTGTCCTGCTGAGTTTTTTTGCAGCTGCGTTTCGTGGTGGAAGAGCGTCATTTAGAACTTGTCAAAGCACTTGACCACAACTAATTACGCAGGAGCTCAAACAGCATTGAATTCCCGAAATCATCCGGGTCACCGGGTTCACATACCGTATTGATCAGACAGTATCGCCGAATATCTCCGAGTCTTCCCAGGAATCAGATGTCTTCCCTTCGGGACATCGTTCTCTTCCGCTACGCCATGCCGGGCACCCGAAGCGAGCTTCGTTTCGGAGCCGGGTGACGCCGCCGAGCCGCCGAACGGGAGCATACCGAGGCGCTCGGCGGGGCAAGAGCTCTCCTCCACGTTGCGGTTATTGAAGTCGGGGGACCAAAGGAATGTCTTCAAGTCGGAGAGAGACACACAGATCACATATAAGTACTATATATTTATTATATAATATTAATGTTAATATAATGTTTATATACATTTTGTTCCTGTTGTCTTGTTTTGCTTGACACTATTATCATCTATTATATATCATTTTGAATCATCGGAAGCAATATCAGAAACATCACTATCACTATGCGGATATACTACAGTATTGAACATGGAGGGATCAGAACTGCACATTCATGATCAGACAGGATGTGTATTGCATTTTTGGACAAGCCGTCCTTTCTCTTGCAAAGAGTGCGCTCATTTTGATGCCGGGAGGATGTGGATCAAAGCGCGAAAGATCCCTGGAACAAAACAAGGTACCACTGCTGGATTGTGTGGAGAAAGTGTGTGAGTCCAGACTTGAACACAGTATTATTATGTTTGCTTTGTTTTTTGTTGTGTGCGTATGGGACATTATGGGACAACTCTGAGGAAACTACATATTTTTCAACGCACAGAGAAGTAGAATAATTACTGTATGCAGATTTGTCAGTGCTTCAAGCCCTTGGGTTGTGATTGTTGAGATGAAGGGGTTCCCAGTGTATCCAAGGAAGGCCGCTCAGAAGACCTCTGTAGTGCATGCCACATTCAATCTCTGGTGGCATGCCATCCAAGCAAAGATCACGCCCATGGAGACTGGGTTTGGACAGGCGGCTTCCCCAATGTTGTTTGGCTTCGCATGGCGGTGCGCTTCTACCAGGAGCGAACTGAGAAGCGGGGTCTTTTTGGCTTCAGCATCTGGTCACAAGAGTGTGACCAGGACGATACTTGATCAAAGTGAAAGAGATGAAGATTGCAGGGTATCGTCTGATCTTGAAGCATTCAGCCAGTTGGAAGCAACATGTATAGTATACGTATAACCAGTATCTGCGTGTACTAAGAACAGATGGAGTCCCGGGATATGTGCCGACCGGCCAGGAGTCCAAAGGAAAGACGAAACGTGTGGCACGTGACTGGCTAAGGCGGTTCATGGTCTGGAGTCCAAGCCGGGTCTTTTTCACTTTTCACGCACCTTGCGTGTGATCATTTGTTGAGAACATTTGCTTCAGATGCAACAAATCCGGGGGTCGCATGTGGTTCAGATTCCTCTGAAGGTACTCCCAGCGCAATCTGGCTCGTGATGATTGAGTTGTCTCATGGTGTTACACTCACTTGAAATCTAGCTCGCAGCTCTCTCCTGATTTTAAGCCCCCAAACAACTACGCCACCTAAGGTTTGCGAAAAGCAACACAACAATAAACATCAAAAAACACATAAAAACACTGGATACGCTTGTGAGGTTGATGCCGCATTTTATCCGTTCGACTCAGGGCTGGGCTTGGCAAGGCCTCCCCACTGGTGGATCGTGCCTTGGCAGATCAGGTGGGGTAGACCAAAACATGGAGCGTAGACCAACGAGGCTCAGGGCACAGGAATCATTCAAAATCATGCGAAAACCAAAACTGTTAGTGAATTCTCCTGCGAGCCTCCTCTCTACAAGAGCCCAATGCAGTCCAAGGACCCATACTAATTTGCCTGGAATAACGATTATTCTTTTCAAGTCTTCATGTGAAGAGTTTGCGGGTCAACATCTATGTTGCCATGCTTGCGGCATATTTTGGTCCAGACTCATTGGTACAGGTTTTTGCCACTGGGACAGAACACATCGACGTTGGTCATGTCATGGTATGGTGTCCTGTTTGTTACAGGGGGGGCGGGGGGGGGTGGGGGGGGGGCTAATGACGTTCGATTGGATGTGCACCTAAGTTGAAGCACCGTGCACGTAAACGTTGGACGATCGATTTAGGGAGTGCATCAGTGCATCTGAGATGAAGCTACACGCATGCACGTGTTGGAATATTGGGGGGTGGGGGTAGGGTTTGGGAGGGGGGTTGGGTGGGTGGGCGGGTGCGGGCCTAATGTTTTTGGTGCACAAATACATAGCTCTTTGTTTTCAAGAACTGACAGCCACCGTGTCCCTCCCTGACAAGGCCTTTGACGCTTCATGGCGAGCAGGCACATCGATTGCAGGGCCAAAAGCTACTACGTTACGTTGTTTCTGGAAAAAGGAGCATGTCTTGTATGAGAGCGAACGCTGTCCACGAGCGATGTTTAGGTGTCCCAGACCAGAAGCGTTCCAGAACAGCTCTTGATTGTAACGAAAAGGCATCTATTTTCGGGTCGCTGGGTTTCGGTTCTGCGTCAATGGACGTTGCAGTTGATGAGAATGAGAGTGAGAATGAGTAATGATGAGTGATGCACCTGTCAAGACCCCTTTTGTCTTCAATCGTTCCCATCGATACTGGTACGTAGATCCCGTCACGTTATGCTCTCGCCCCCTCGCTTCCCCTTCCTTTGAGGAGTATTACTCGGGTCGACTGGCTGCCGGTGTGCCAGCTGCAACGTTGCAGCCTTGGTTTGACTGATTTGTACCGCTAAAAGGTCAAGTGGTCAAGCACCTTAGTTGGATGTCAAAGCGGATGTCATGGGATGTGACTTGGTCGATTGGATTTCATGGGTTCTCATCGTTCTACAAACTTGCCTTGCAATGACATTGATTTGTTCGACACAGACTTGCAGGGAGCATTTTTGTGATTTTGCCCTGTTTGTTTGAGCCCTGACTCTGGCCAAGGTTGCTCCTCTTCGTCATCGAAATGGTGAAGTTTCTGGAGAAGCCCCCCGCGCCAAGCTCCTTTGGCGAGGACGCTAGTTGACCACAAAGGAAGCACTGAGAATGACAATGAGTCGAATGGGTGGGAGAACAAAGGCTGTACAGGGCTGGAGGCTGATTTTGTGGAAGCTGGAAGATGCCCAAATGCCTTAAGATGTACTGTAAAGCTTTAAGTCATTGCCGATGGCTACAGAGGAACACAATGACGACAAGAGCGCTTTTGCTGAGACTAGCTTGTAATTTGCTCTTGTGTCAAGCTTGAGCCTCTAGAAAAGCACGACAAGCACAGAATGGAGAAGTACAAGAGGTTGGCATCTCTACAAAAACCACTGAACAACACAAGTATACACAAGTATGCTATTCAACAGACACTCGCTCTTGAATCTAACAAGACCTGAACACTTCAACTCGGTGGACGGTTTCCTACAATACTGAAGGGATCATTGAATCAAAAGCAAAGAAGCACTCATGGTTTGGGTTTTTGATTCCCTCGCAGAGCTTTGCCGGTGTCAATTTTTCCATGAGACTTCAGCCATGTTGGCAGTGTCCAAACCCAGCTCGCGCAGCTTGCGCAAGCGTCTGGGTCAACTTGGACGGCTGCTCTTGGCACTTTACCTCTTGCGGAAGCTTCCAACGATCCTTCGAAGATATTGGCCCACCAGGCAGGTCAGCGATTTGGCTGTGGTCGGGGTGGAGGGTGAGATCTCTACAACGGAGCTGACAGGACTGGCTGGTCCATTTGGGAGCCTTGTGGCCTAGTCCCAAACCACCTGAGGATTCAACATCAACTGATCAAGGGGTTCTCCTTCTGTGGGCCTCAACCGGCATCAAGTCATGAAGCCTGAGAACAGCCCATCCAAATGGCCATTCTCACCACGGGGTCACTGAGAGGCCCCTCAAGCTGAGTGGACCTCCCTTCCTACAGTGGTCGGCGGTCCAGTTGGCTCGCGCGATCCAGAGCCGCGAGCTCACCTCGAGCCAAGTGGTGGAAGCCTACATCCAGAGGCTTCGCGAGGTGGATGTGCCGTCCTCGGCGAAAAAGAACTGTTAGAAACACACGCCATTCCTGCGCCCTGGGCCAGAAGGAATTCCTGCGCCTTTGGATCGCGGGGAGAAAGAACTCTGCAGAAGAAGAAAAAGAAGAAGAGGAACAAATTAATTGCATCTAAGATCATCTAAGTAAGTATCTAAGTACTATTGAGAGTTTTTGAGGCGCGAAGGCCACAGAACCTGAGGCTGTTTGCCACGGGGCAACTTAAGCTTCAAAGAACACACGGCTGTTCGTTCTTGGATTCTACGCATGATGGCTTTTGTGTGTTCCCGCAACAAACACATCCAGAGAAGGATTACAACGGCACGGTGGCCTGTTTTCGATGTTGATCATGGAGTCTTTCAACTGATTCAACGGACTCTTAAGATCTCTGGCTTCGACTTTTGCTGTGAAGATGCATTGATTGGTGGCCACTCTTGTGTCATGTTCAAGGTGCATCTCCACTGTCTGGTCGCAGAACGTTTTGATGCGGCCCGAGAGGAGGTGGGAAGGAGTACGTCCGTGAGGCGTTGAACGTGTGGAGGTCGGCCATCTGGAGTACTCGTAGAGAGAAGTTCGGGATAGTAGATGTTGTCAAAGTAGAGGAGCCCACAAGAGCTTTAACTATCCATCGGTCAGGCTAATGAGGAAAGACTTCTAGAACTACTTTGCGCACCAACTAGAGAAAAACCGTTTGGATACGAAGATCATTGTCAATCCTGTTTGGTGGGGATGATGTGGCGCGCGCGCGAAGTTCATCGGATATTAACGGATATGCGGTGAATAGACCACCACCCACTGGTTGGAAGTCTTCCCATTGGTCAACAAGAAGAACCGAGCCGTTAGTATCCATGAGTCATTTGTACAATTACACACTTACTTATACGTTCTTATGTAATTGTACGTAGAGTTCCTATCTTCACTTGTACGTTCTTATCTTCACTTATACGTTCTTATAGTTCCTATTATACGTTCCCCACATCGGTCAATTATACAACGATTCTACCATCAGTGTCGCCGTCGAGGCCCTGGCAGCGGACCAGCGCATTGCACAGAAACATGACGAACGTGGAGCTTTGCCGGAGTTCTTGGGTGCCCCCGGCCTCAAGAGAACAAGACCATTTGTAGTGATGTTAGTCTCCCTTGGTCATGCAAGTTGCGATGGAATCGGTCTCTCCCACTTCGAATCAGCGGAGAAAGACCCGTGTGAACCAACCTTGGGCCCACGGAAGTGTCTCAATGTTTGTTTTAAGATCATCATGCCAGCTTGGCCAAATTCAGGGTCGCACGTGGCATATTTGGTGCTTTGGGGGTCCAACCAATACCTGGATGCTTCTGGGCCCTCGGTTGGATGTGGCTTGATGGCCCTCAGTGGCGAAGGTGTTCCCATCCTGCTGAAGGAAGCCTTCGAATATCCGGGCTTTCCCTACACCAACGGGCTCATGTGCCGCAAAGGCGTGCCAATGCATTTCAGTTGATGCATGGTGTGATGCGTAAGAACACAGAAATCATGGGATTTCACCTACATCCAGATTTGGGGGCTATGCCAATGCATTTCAGTTTGAGGCGCAGTGAAAGGGGTACGGTCCAACTGAGGTTGTTCCGCCGTTTGTGGAAAGGGATACCCAGTGGGGCTTGAAAGCCTGACACACAAATCCCAGATACTCCCAGTCCCAGTGCTTTTGTGTTTGTTCCACTGCTAATTGTGGAACCCGAATATTTCTTCCCGTTTTTGCTTTTGGCCAATTGCTTGGTCGCCCTACCTGCTCCATCGGAACCAAACTTGGTCAGCTGGAGCATGCTAGAACCATGAGCCATGAGGACTATTTGACTAGCTGCAACTACGAGTCATATTGCACATCATTCGAAGGGAATGTAAACATTGTTGATTGAAGCCCATTGCAAGTCCCACCTCTGATTATGGGCAAACAGGAATTGAACTCCTTCAAATCCAATTGATTCTCAAATGTTCATCAGGGTGCGGAATCCATATCATCCCATATCATCATAGTTTCTACCGTGTTTTGCTGCACGTGATGCTAGGCACTGCGCAGGAAAGAAACACATACTAGATAGAGTCACTTCCAGGGTACCTTTTTAGACATGATCTCTTGAAGCATCTTGAAGCTCTCACCTGGCTCAAAGAATTATTCGACTACATTCAGGGTCATAGTCCAAGAGCATTAGATATTACTAGTTCTTTAGTCTTGGACTATTGGTATTTTTTTCTGAATCCACCAAACCATGGCCATCCCCCCACCGACACCTCCGCCTCCGGTCCAGGCCGCCGTGGCGCACGGCCGGGCCCCGCGGTGCGCCGCATCGAGGCGGCGGGCTTCGTCGTGCTGGGCACCGGGAACGTCTCCGAGGCCGGGAGTGAGTAGATCCGGTCCTAACTAGCGGCCTCCAAGCTACTATGGAATAGCGATGGCCTCCAACCTAAGAGTCTGACCACGATTCCTGTGCTTGTTGATGCTTTTCTGTTGACTGACTGCGATGAGTTAGTAATAATAATGGTTTGATGTTTCTTCCCTCGAGGGAAGTTAATTGTCACGTGTTTCAGTGGGTGATAAGAATCCGGGAGGTAGGAGGTGTGAAGTTAAGTTGATCGTGTCTAGACTATTTTTAAAAATACGTCCATCGCTTGGCACCAGTTCTCTTTCTTCCATGTATCACCTTATGCTTCAGAAGTATACTGTTCATGTCCTCTATCACCTTACGCTTCGGAAGTATACGGTTCTTTTGGGTCTTATCCTGTGTTCCATGAAGCTTTGATAGACTGCGAGGCCTGTATGTGGATGGAGAGCTACAACCTAGTGTGGCTTGGCGTGGTCCGTGCGTTGGCACATGGCGTTCACCCCTGGGCCAGGTGCAGCGGTGATCGTAGGTACAGCAACATGCTGCTAGCTGCTTGCCCCGTTGCTGGAACTGAGTCACATATTCTTTTAAAAGCAAGATCTGACCTGGGGTAGTCAACAATATACCTAGGAAGATCCCTTGCCAACCTGCTTGCATCTCGATATGTTCATGCGGGGTAGGGTATATTCCCGTCTCTTGTTTGCAGTTTGAACACCTTTCAAACAGATCCTGCAAGCTGAAAACACACGTCTCTCAAGTCTCTCCATCGATCGATCTTCCATTGATCAGACCTGCTACAGATCTTGGACGACTCATATTTGGACTCCATAGACAAGCACCATTGGAATTCTCACGTCTCAGTCTTTCCAAAATTCGGTGTATCATGTGATGTCATGGTCTTAGTCTTTACTCTTGCTATGTCCAATTCTGATCACCAACCGACCAGCCGACCAGCCAGGTATGGCCGCAGCCGGAACCCGCACGGCCTGCACCTCTCGCCCGGCGGCTCCTCCGGTGGCACGGCGGCGCTGGTGGCGGCGCTCGGGGCCCCGGTGGCGTTGACCGCGGACATCGGCGGCTCCACGCGGATCCCGGCGCTGCTGAATGGCTTGCTGCTCGGATGCGGGACCGGTGTTCCAAATCGGAATCTGCAGAAGAAAGACTACAAAGACTACCGGAGACTAGAGGTGATCAATGGCTTGTCATGGTTTTTTCATCAGTATGGCGGTGGTAGGGATTCCATGGGGTTCCCAAATGTGACTCCAATGTTTGAAATGTCTTGAACTGCATGTTTTTTTCCCAAGTCTGGTGGTGTCTGTGTTTGCCATGCCTTGGTGGACAAAACTTGTCCCCAAATGGGGGTTACACATGAAGAAAACCACGAACACTCCGTTTACTTCACTCACCTCGGGGGTGTTTTTCTTCGGATCATTGGATCTTCGACCCGCCGTTTTGTGCAGGTTTGGGCACAAGCCGACGGGTGGGATTTGCCCCAATCTGGGAACCCACCTGGATGAGTTCCATGGAGCCTCTTGGTTGGCTCGTTTACTACCAGGCTCATAAGGTGGGAGACGTGAATGCCAGGCCGTTTTTTGACATAGCAAGTTGTTCATCTCTTCGCTTTCAACAGTGAATGATGCTATCAGAGCAGGCTTCTACAGACGGTGGCAACACACAGCTCCGCTCCGAGGCTGTGTGCCGGATCTGTCAGATGGGCATGGTTTGTCGACATGCGGAAGATCTCCTTCCCCTGCTGAAAATCATGGCTGGCCCTCCGGATCCCAAAGAGGAGGGGGCGAGGGCGAGGATGCGAGGGCGACGAGGGCGGACGAGGTCGGACGATGTGACTGTTTAGGTGGTAGGATGTCGCCGTGGTGTTTCTTGGCAGCATCAATATGCATGAATTAAGACATATTTGAACACGTACTTGCCGAGACTCGTGTTCTTCGGTGTGATCGCCGAACGAAACGCCTAGAAACGCTGCTATTCTGGGCATGGGAAGCTGAGCCTGCAGGACCCGTTGGCATATGAGTATCGGCCCTGTCCCGTTTGGCATGGGAAGGACGTCGACTTGGGCTCGCTGACAGTGGGATGCTTGTCCTTCCGTGGTGGTTGGCCGACCTCTGTTGCTTGGACAGTCTGGCACAGCAAGGGTGTGATGGGGATGTCATGTGACATTTCTCACAGTTGTTCTTGAGATTCTTCTACAAGCAGTTTGCACACCGCACTTGTCACACCTGCATACACATGCCCAGATGCCGTGCTACAAGGAACGTTTGGTTGTTCTTTGTCATCTGATGCCGCAAGCCAAGGCAATGGAAGTACTGATCTCCAGCATTGGTAAAGGGCAGAGCTTGGCAGTGGAGCGTGCCGTCGAGTGGCTGAGAGCGCAGGCACGTTCAAAAAACTTGTCAGGGCAACTCATGGTAATGGCTATGGGCCATATGGGCTATACAATAATACCTATGTTAGTCATTTTCTGTGAACCCCTAGTATGTAACAGCATTCACTACATGTCTACTAGTAGCTACGGTTCACACATCACATGTACAATACATGTGCCGACCGTGGCTCATGGCTCAAGGAAAAGGAGCGCTCCAGCTGCTTTTCCACAGGGCGCCGTGTTTTCCGGGCTGTGTCCGGATACACCTTCGCATTTGCTTTCGCGCTCTTTCGCTTGCACTTCGCCGTTCGTTCGATTGCCGCCGTGCTTCGCTCGTTCGGTCGTTTGCCAATCACGGGGTCTCGTCCTTCAGACTCGCCTCGTGTAATAATAAACATAGACCGTGCATCCAGGGATCTAGCCTACTTCTTTTACCACCTCCCGGTTGAAAGAATTGCTTGGGCGTTTCCCTACGCCCCACCTGGTTTGTACACTCAATTGGTTATCAGCCGTAGCCGTGAGCTACAGGCATCAGCACTCGACCCCATCCAGTGGTCCGTTGCAGCTCGCTTTTCGCACTTGCATAGGACACCAATGGGTCGAGTCAACCCCCAGCCGCAAGCATCGGGCGCCGCAGCATCTTCATCGGCTGCAGCACCAGCCACGGCGCCTGCTGGGGACCCTCAGGATCAAGAAGCATCCGCTTCCCCTGAGGGTGTGGTCGGAACCGCGCCTAGCGCGGAGACCACGGACCAAGAGCTTGGGGAGGCTGTGCAACCACCCCTTGCTCCCCGTGTCGCGTCAGGCATTTCCTCCTCCCAACCCACGTTCACGCCTCAGGGTTCAGAAACCGCCGAGGCGGAGGAGTTCGATAACCTTCAACAAGAAGAGCCTGCCGCAGAGCCGACCACCATTGAGTTGCCTCCAGAGACCAGCACACTTGGTTCTCTTGGTGACGAAGCCCCTCTTATCGAAGCAGAGCTCCAGACCGGAACCGCTGCTTCGCGCGGAGAGGTCTCGTCAGCTCAAGACGGTTCGCTAGGCCCAGCTAACGCTGACGAGCCGTCCTTCGATGTCTTTTCGTTGTTAGACCCACCTAAGATAGAGCCCACAGCCAAGGAGGAAGTAGAGGAAGAAGTTTATGCCGATCCCTCAGCCTCCCCTGTAGGCCTACCCCCACTGCATACTCATAACCATCCAACGCAGTTCGAATCATTGGCCACCGATCCGGTCTTTGACGAGGCTGAGGTTGACTTTGGAGACGAAGGCGACGACCTTGATGATCAGGCGGAGCCCGCTCCCAAAGAAGAGCAGCAGGAAGGGGACGAGGCCGACGACGAAACCGCGCCTAGCGCGGAGACATCACAAACAGCTTCCGCAGCCGTGGATCCTCAGCCGAAGCGTACGCGCGGCGCGAGGGGAGGCCAGAAGCATCAGTTCGAACAGTCCGACAAGAAGTACGCTCTCACATGTGATCTTATCGCAAGTCACCTGGCGTCGCATACTTACCGTCGGGTTCGTAAAACCTACCATCTACCATTCGTGAAACCGCTGATTGCGCGGAGAGATTACTCCGAATGGTACAAGTATGTTGTGTTCCATGCTGATGCATGGGCCGAATCCCCTGAGGACGGAGATATTTCCGACGGGGCACTTAAAGCCTGGGCGGCCATCATACCAGAATTCTGGTCATGGTGTACTCGTCACATGCCGGACATCTCAAACGGTGTGAAACAACCCACATACCGTTTTCCGCCTGGGTATTACCAAAAGACATACAAGTTCATCCCGCTCCGCCAGGTCCATTCATCAACGGCGACTTCTTCGCAAGCAGCCCCGGCTGCTCAGCAGACCTTCCCTGTCACCGTCCCGGCGCGCACATTCCAGCCCGTAGTGGGTGCAAGCGCTGCCAGTCCGTCAGGAGGTTGGAGACCGCAGTTGAGACCTGTTGAACATCCAGTGCAACCCCGATCCCAAACTCCACAAGGTACTCCAAGGTCTAGGTCTCAGACCCGGACTTCAGAGCCAGTTCGACCTCCTCGACCAACCAGGCCGTGCCCCAGGCCTAATCGTGAAACCGCTGAGCTTCTCGCGGACACGGAACAGCCGACACGCACGGTTCATCTTGCCGACGATACCGAACAGGCAGATGATCCTATGGACGGTGTTGGAACCGAGGAGGGAGCGCCCGCTCCGGAAGCCGAAGCAGACCAAGGGTACCCAGAAGGAGCGGAGGAGGAGGGCACTGTCCAACAGGACGACCAAGGCGGAACCGCGCTTGCGCGGGAGGAAGAGGAAGCTTTCGAGCCAGACCCCGTGGTCGAAATCGAGGGTGATGACTTAGAGGTAGTTCGCACTCGTGCAGCTAACACCATAACCCGAGCCGTAAGGTCCGGTCGATTTGGTCGTGCACTTGCAACTGCAACTCCCCCTAATCCACCACCCTTAGACCCCGAGTATCTGAATACTCCTCATAGGCCTCAGAACTTACCACCGCATGTTAAGCTTCGAAGGCCACCTCCACCTAAAGCAAGCGCCCGGAGCCTACCCGTGCCTGCGCAACCTCCTAAAGCCGACGCTCCGCAACCGGAGCCTAATCAGCCGAAGGGGGCACCGCAACCGCGTCAGCGCGGGTTCGTCCGGCTCCAACATGCTGCCCGCGAACCGCCGGCGCAGCCCATTCCGATGGACACAGCTCGGGATACTGTGTACGACTTGCCTGATCACATATGGCGAACTCGCCCCACGAGGGAGCCAGGCGGTCTGACAGTGCCCCAGTCCGAACTTTTGGTGCATCCGAACACTGAGGTACACGCCATGGACGTGGACGACGACGAAAGTCCACCCCGCCCTGCGGCCAAACCTCGAGCAACCGCCCCTTGGCGGCGAGCACCAACACATGCACTGGAGGCCGAGGAAACCCCTGAGGCACCGGCGCCAAAGCCGCGTGTACCAGCGAATCCTCCTCCTCCCAAGCGTACTCGTGTCGTGTTTGCCACTACGTCACGAGTTGTCCTAAGACCAGGTCCTGGCGCTCCGGAAGAAACCGCGCCCAGCGCGGAGCCATCTTTTGCGGAGCACACGCGAGGTACCGTCCCTCTGGTTGCCCAAAGAGCAGTAACTGAGCGTAGCTCGGGTGAACCTCCGGCACCATCCCCTTCAAGGACATCGGTAACCGTAACGCCACTTGTGGACCCAACTCATCGTACCCCTAATCGTAATTGGGCCGATCAGTCGCTCGATGACGACCTGGACGATGAGCCCACAGACTCCGAGGCAGCTCCATCCGGAGCTTCAAGGTCTAGGACACCGCCACCAAAGCCTATGGTGGTTAAGCCCCCGCCACAATGCATTCGAGAGGACCCGTCTCAACGTAAGCCACAATATGTTGAGTCAGGACGAGTGGAAGAATTCTTTCCCCACGGATTCTTCACAACACCTCCTCCAGGGCCTCCAAAACCTCCGCCACCGCCGCCTGCGGCTCAGGTGCCGAAACCCAAGCCGATGCCTGAGCGACCTCCGCGGTCTTCGAGCCCTGCTCCCGCAACAGTCACTCAGGATGCAACCGGCAGGGGTAGAGGTCAGGGGTACCCACCACCTCCTGCACCCTCTGGAACCGCGCCCCGCGCGGAGGAGGATACTGCAGAGGCCGAACCAAGTGGCGGTACCTTAGCGCCCCCAACTTTTGGAGACCCTCCGCCTCCAAACCCGCCACAACAGGACGACGATATGCCACTCCCTCGCAATCGTTACCTCGAACTGTGGCAGGAGGCGAATCACGTATTTGGTCAACAAATGTGTGACCCCATGACCCTAACCTTACCCGGTCAAGCTCATAACATCGAGATTGGTCTAGATTTCCATAAGGTTCTAGATGCGATGTTGGTATATAAGCTTGAAGTCCCCACACGACAGTGCGTTGATGCCCTTGCCAATCTCGAGCGCCTCGGCGCAAGAATAACCATCATATCCTTCACGGGACATGAAGGTTATGCAAGGGCGGCCTCACAAACCGCGCACTTTCGTGACTGCGTTCGCGCAGCTGGGCTACAGATGGGAGGAGGGATCTTCCTTACCAACTCCCGAGTCGGGCCGGAAGGCAAAACTCCGATCGTCTCTCGATTGGGGATTTGCGCGTACGTCGATGACGATTCCGAGATCATCAATGAGGTACGCCGCACTGGCTGCTACGGTTACCTCTGTGACGCTACGCGTCTTAACCAGCCCCATTCGGTCTTGCTAGACTTAGCTAATATGATCCGCTCTTCCGGAATTCACAACTGGAAGATTGCGCATCATCCTCGACCTTTGGCGTCCGACGAATTTTCAGGCGAATCTAACCCACGGGGAGGAGGCCGCCGACGACCCAAAGCTCGATAGGGCCCTACATGCCAGTAACCGCTGCTTTGCGCGGTCACTTTTCGTTCGTAGGACCATTAGCTAGGTTGAGTGCAGTGAAACTTCAATATCAATACCGAAGACATTCTAGTTGAACTTTAGGTCATGCATCAATTTTCTTTCAGTGCACTCGTTCTTCACCACGCAACAGCTGCCACAAGGCGCTGGAGTGGTCTGGACTCCTCGTGTAGCGCGAAAATAACTGCACCTGCAGTTGGGTGTGAACCATGGCGAACCATACAGGGTTTTCCCCGCCTGATGATCCCCCAGGTGAACGGTCTAGGTCCTCCCCTGAAGAGGTCCCTGTAAGTCGTGGTAGAGGTCCTTCATCCAGCACCACTGCTCACGCAATGTCCGTCGTCACTCGCCTGAGGGGTTCGTCGCTCGCTGCACCACCGGTCACGCGTCCCAGGACTACGACCACGATGGAGTCTTCACCGTCCACTCCAGAGCAAAGGCCAGCCACTCGTCGAAGACGTTCCGGGTCGGGGAGAGCGTTAGAGGGTATTCGTGAACCTAGTAGCGAACAACCCCCCATTCAATGGATAGATCCCCAAACCGGTCGCCCACTACATAGGATCCCTAGTCCTCCTAATCGTAGTAGGCACACCA